GTTGGGACCTTTGAGAAAAGGTGATGCTCTTTCCTTTAGGGATGCAGATTGCATGTTTCACCTGGGCAATTCTGGCTGTCCCATGCAATGATGACCCATCCAACTTTTAAGGCATCTGGTTATTCTTGTTTGCTTTTGGGCAGCCAGCACCCCTAGTGCCTATATACATCAGGCTTGCCAAACATGTATTGCATTGCAGCTCCCTGGCTTTGACCACTGAATCTTTGATTGTTATATTGCTTTCTTTGAATTTTATATTGATTTTTTCTTTGATTTTTATATTGATTTTTTCTTTGATTTTTATATTGATTTTTTCTTTGATTTTTATATTGATTTTTGCTTTCAGTTTCCCTATCCTTTTTTATTGATTATTTTTTCAGCAAAATCAATATTTTCCAATTGATTTTTTTTAGATTTTGGGACCATATTGATTCTAGTGATTGTAATCAATATTCGATGCTCAGGGTACATATGTAAAGATGGGAGTCTCCGGAGGGGGGCAAAATAATTACCTCCCCAGGGGTTGAAATAATTTTTACGAAGGTTCACCACCGTCGATGAAGGGGAGGGGGGGGTCTATCGTAAGAAATTATTTTACCCTAAAGAGGGTTGTTTCGTATAACAACCGAAGACACTATCAACCCCCTGAAAATAATTTTGGAAATCATTTTGAGGAGGGGGGGAGGGGGGGGGGGTAGTTTAGGTAGGGTAGATATCTAGCCGCCGTCAATTTTGGAACGCAAGAATTCGCAATACTGGGTTCCTGATGATGAATTAAGTGGTTTATTGAGCGTCGATCCGATTGTGGAGGTTGATCAGGTTCCAGTTCACGAGCACTTGCCCACATTTGTTTAGATATCTTTCTGTTTGGTTTCCATCATATTAATATTTAGTATTATTTCGTTACATTTATTTGCTGCCCACCTTGCCCATATAGATCATGACTTGAAAACTGGGCCAGGGTCTGTCCGGAACTGGTGCCTGGTCCAGGATGGTCTAGGTCTTTAACCTTTCCTCCCCGCCACTGTTGGGTTGTGTGCACCATGTGCATTCTATGAGGCTTTTGGCTTCTTTGCAAAAGCTCAATTTGAGCCAAAACGCCTTGGAAGAACTTCCTTCTGGTCTCTTTGATAGCCTCAGCGGCCTGGAAGTCCTCGACCTGAGCTACAACCAGCTGAGCATCTTGGGGGGCCATATCCTAACAACTTTGAGTTTGCATTTTGTTTTTTCTGGAACACTTTTTTCAAGGATCTAAACGTGTTCCGCTAACAAGCAATGGTATGCCATCCGCAGTAAAGTTGTTCCTTCTAGCGGCTTGTATGTGGAAAAGTGTCACCGCCAAGGCAACCTGGACTCTAGGCTCTTCAACCTTTCACGTCTCAGCACTTTGGATCTGCGCGGGAATCCATTGACGAGGGCTACCCAGCTCGACATGCTAGACCTGGCAGACCGACGGGTCGCTAAGCTGAGGATGGACTGAGTCGATGTCGGTTGATCTTGGCTCCAGTTGGTGCATGTGGAAATTCGATGAAATTCGGAGGCTTCATGAGTCTCTAAGGCTAAGGTTTTAAGGCTTTGAAGCGAAGCTTCATGTTCGAATGGCCAAAGAGTTTTCCCAAAACAATTTTGTTTGACAAGTTCAGCCCATGTTTTATCTGACTGGCGGACGTGATAGAATGCAATGATGTTGGCATTGAACAGAGTAAGAGAGTCACCAGATGCATTCTTTCTGGGGAGCTGGGTTGAAAGTGCTAGCTGCTTGCGAGTAGCGCGCAGCTGTTCGTCTCGGACCACAGGTCCCGAGAATCGACAGACCCGGAGAATGGAGCACGCCAATCGGAGTGACAATTGGGTGTTGTGGGATGTTGCGGGTCAAATTGTTTCCAATGGGTCAAAGTTGGAGTTCATAAATGATGGAGAGGTTCAGAAATCATAGAAGAAACTTGGCCCAGATCCTTCAGAATTCACATCAGGCCCAGATTGTGGCGATTGATTTTGCTTTTTGAGGCTCCTTTGAAATTTACCTTTGTGAATTGAAAGGTATGCCGTGTTCATATCAACATGAACAACCAACACTACGATAGGTTTGGAGAACATTCCCAGACTGGTTGCGAAGTTGTATCATGTTGTAATTGTATCGTTCTTCGTGCCTGGGGCTGAACCCTGCGCCTTGTGCTGACATTCCGGCTCCAAAGTTGGATTCTTTGTCAGGCAGCTGCAAGCATGGTGCGTAGAGTGCGAAGATAGGAGCCAGGAAGTGCTTAGACATGTTCAAATGTAGCTTTGTAGACACCAGGCACGGCAAACTCGCCAACAACCACACTCCCGAGGGCAAAGACGAAGTATGGAAAACAATCGGGTTTCATGCTGTAGCAAGTCGCATCACAATGAGGTCAATCTTATTTAATGATTTGGAACCAAAGTCATACGTCATGCAGCAACGTATCCAACATAAGGATCATGTGGATTGGATTTGCGAATTTCTTGTTTCTTTTCCTGCGTGGTGCCGGCAGTCGGTGTGCCAAGACAGCCGCCAAACTCCCGCCATGGATCACGAACAAGATGAGAATCGTGTCTTGGTTGGTTTTTCACGGAGCAGCAAATTCTATTGGTCGAGCACACGCCCCACCACGGCAAAGACGTGCGCATATCTATGCTCATCTCGTATGTATGGTTTGGTTTGTTAAGGTGTGGACAGTACGGTATATAGGTATTGTTTCGCATGCATGGTTCTATGGTTCTATGGATTTGTGGCACGACGTGCACCTGACATTCATCTGATGAACGCTTTCTAGCTTTTCAATCGCGTGTGAGCACGCATGGGTACATACATTGGTATTGGTATGCCTTGTGTCGCAACTACTGTACGGAAGGATTTCGGAACTGATTGGGAAGACGAAACCATTCTCCTTCCTTTGGACCAGGCATTTCGGATTCAAGGTCCATCATGGTATAGGCACTGAAGCTTGACGCTGCTGTTCGAGGGGGTAACTTTCCTTTGCAAATGCGACGATCTATTTTTTCTTTGCAAGCACTTTAGACAGGTTGCTTGCCCCCTTAAAAGCTTCATATGAATTGACCAAAAGCATGTGTTTGGAAAAGAGACGGCGCACGAATAATTTGAACTCCAAACTTTTCTAGTCAATGACTTATTGAATAGTTACATGTCATTTGCTTGCTTTTTAGGGTGCCTTGCCTAACACGAATATATATGGAAATCTACCATTTTTAATCGTCAGATCATCTACTCTCACGAGCCATTTTCCATACCTATGTTAGACTACCAATGGGTAAACCACCACCATTGTTTGCCATGTTTCCCAGGTTTGACAAAGCAAATGGCCGCCTTTTTGCGGCATAAAGGCCTCAGGACCGCGATAAAGATGGAAGCTGGTGTTTGAACCATTCTTGTTGGCCATCATGTATAGGGGACTTTGCATTGCCACGTTTGATTGCTAGAGGGCAACCATCCAAATGTTTTCAGACAAACTCATCTTGGGGGATGGTTCTTATGAAGGTGGGCATATAGATTGTAGAGGTAAATCATATACATAAACATAGCTTGGTTTGTGGGTGTCATTTTTTGCTTGAATGCACGAGGGGCCCCCAGCAGTTCTTGATGTGTCATAAAGATTCATAAGCCAATGCCATTCCCTTTTTGGTGGGAATTCGAGCCAATTGGTAGGAGCCTCTTAGTGTTGGTACCCCCTGTGCCCCTCGTTGAGCTATACTTATTTTTTTCATCGCATCTTCGGAGTGCCTTCAGGAGTATGCAACCAGACGGCCGCTTGGTTTGCATTGCTGCCGGCTCCTAGCGGCAAAGAAAGGTGGGATATACAATGGGACAGGAAAAAATTGTATATAGTCACATAGCCCGAAAAGATCGGGAGTTTTGACGAACAGACATGTTTATGCTCAGAGATTGCAATCCAAATGAGTTCCACTTGGGGATGGAGGCAAACATCACATTTCTTTTGGATGGGTTGAATTCTTCAGTCAAATGCCAATTGATAGAGTATAGAGTAGCAGGGGGCTTGAAAGAACAATGAGTCCTATGGAGACCATGATACTTGCGACTCATGGGCTGAGAACCCCCCATTCTAACGTGCCAGCGTGTCCCGTTCCACGGTGAGAACAGTGCATTTCTCGGCAGCTAACCTGCCACCATGGAAACAAACTGCCATGAAATGCCATGAAGAAAATATTCTCAGGACAGAATTTCATATACGTGTGCTACTGTGGATTTTTTAAGTTAGTGAACAAATTAGGTCCTGAGGTCCGAATCTATCCAGGTGGCCCCTTTCCCCACTGGGGGGCATGACTCAGGTTATGCGCTGATAGAAGATCTGGCCAACAGCTGCCATACCGATCCAGCGCAAATTTTGGAGGTCGACTGATTGCATTGCAATGGGTGCAAAAATGGTGAGTTTTCAGTCACCAAAACGGGCCATTTCTGAACCCAAAGGGGAGGTTCAACCAACAAGGGCGGGATTTCCACGGAATTTCAACATATAACCAGTTTCGTGCATTGAAGAGCACATTGGACATTTTCAATGAGCAGAAGCGGGGGTTTGAACCAAACAAAATCTGGCCAACAACGAGGAGAAATTCATACTGCAGCTCCAGACAGAAGTTTGTGCTTCATGATGGCAAACCAAGCGGGTTTCCATTCCCTAACTTGAATATAGAACCCAAGAATAGCAATATCCATTGGGCAAAACATCTCAGGGTGAGCAAAAATATCACAGTGGGCTTTGGCATCTACGGTGGGCATTAACGCAGTGTTCAGCTGCAGAATGTCAGGTTTGTTTTGGCTTCATTTTTAGATTTGTTTAGCTTACCTCATGGAAACGTATCAGACGTATCATCAGACGTATCGCACCGTGTCGTTTTCAGGTTTGAGAGATGGTTTATTAATTATTAATGATCATCATAGGTTCACCACGTTACAGCGTTTTTTGGGTCATGGTTCATGGGAAATTGCCTTGATTACTTCCAAGGTGACCCAGGCCCCTGGGAAGCAACGCTTTCAGCCCCTGGGCTGACCAGTCAGACAGTCAGAGCGTGGCGTGATTGAAAATAGGGATTCAGCCGCAAGATATGGCAATTTTCATAGCGATAAACTATTAGATTTAGGGCGTTTCTTAAAATTTGAAGACAAATCCATATTTGCCCAGCTGGCAGTTCAATGCCATTAATGGAAGACTTCACCAAGCAAGGAACAGATCAGAGACTTGGACGGGAGATGTGTCATAGTAACTATATTGGTGCTGCACGAATTGAATCATGTTTGGGAGGCTCAAGCGGTGTACACCGCGACTTGTCACTTGAACCAAATGTTGGCCAAGTTCCAGCAGAAACATCATTTTCTCATCGCCTAAAACCGCGGTTGGGGGTCCTCTTAGATTTCAGTGGGAAGGAGGGTGAATCAACTCGTTATCATCACACTACATTCTGACCACCTGCCAAGAACATGGTTCCTCTTTGCCCGCGGAGAATTAGCATTTTGCGATTGATTTCTTCAGACCCAATGCTTGTATGTTTGGACAGCACTCTTCTTACAGTTTTCGTGGGGGAATCTCTGAACAAGTGTACCTACCAGTCCATTTCATGGACTTTCCCTGTTTGTGCATGTTCCATTAATTTGGGATTTGCCTCTAAGGACCCTGAATGATGGCCAAACCGTGTGGATTCGCGCAACGCACGGACACACCTTGAAAACGGTGGACGTGAAGAGTAGTCTCTATCAAGAGCCATGGTGGGAAATTCTTAGGGAAAGCGTGTGGCAATCCACAGTGAAAAATGGATGGGTTTTTGAGTAGGATCCCAATTCGCGAAGATATTCATGGGTATGGGTTGAAAGCACCATGCAGTGGTTGGAGCGGATAATGAACCAAAAAGGTGGGGGCGACCCGGGGCGACCCGGGGTGACCAACAAGAAATGGGGGCGAAGAAGCCACAAACCGGGATTCAGCTAACAGCAAAATGGGAATTTAACCAGCAAGAAATGGGGATTCAACCAGCAAACGGAGAACCAACAACACCAGATTCACCAGATACCTATTTTGACAGAAGAATTAAATAAGCAGCCAAGACAAACACACATCAGGTTTGGCTGTAGGGGCTGCCCTTTTCAACCCCACTGGAATCCTTGAAGCGTGTCTCACAGTTGATCCACAGGGGATGCATGTTGAAGAAAAGAATAGGAACTCCACCCCCCAAAAATCTGAACAGGAACTCAGTGCCATGAATGAGCTCGTTATCTAGGGCCATCCCTGTAATCCAATTAAACCATTATATTATATTATATTGCTTGGACAGTCAGTTTGCAGTGTATCCTAGTATGGTTTTTTTCATTCCTGAAAAGACATGTTAGTATAACCCCTTTCCGCTAACCAATCCACAGGGGCTTAAATCTCACATTTTTCAGTGGACAGGGCCACTGGCACAACATCAGCCATCAGATGCCCAGTTGGAGAAGAGGAACATGGGCAAAACTTTTTAGAAACCAAACTGTTTGATACTATTTGGGAGTTTTAGACTTTTCTCATGTTCAAATCCTGCTTGGAATTATGACTCCAACAGATGATAATTGTTTTTCCCCACCTGCCAGGTGAGGGTTGTTAGATTTTATGTCAGTTGCCTCCTCCTCCTTCTCCTCCTTCTCCTCCTCCTCCTCTCCTCCTCCTCCTCGTCCTCCTCGTCGTCCTCGTCGTCCTCGTCGTCCTCGTCGTCCTTGCTCAACTGCGACCCGCGATCCACAGTGTTCTCTGCCGGACCTCAACCACGACCATCCACGCCCAGTGTTCCCTGCCGGACCTCAACCACGACCATCCACGCCCAGTGTTCCCTGCCGGACCTCAACCGCGAGTATCCACGCCAAGTGTTCCCTGCCGACCTCAACCACGACCATCCACGCCCAGTGTTCCCTGCCGGACCTCAACCGCGAGTATCCACGCCAAGTGTTCCCTGCCGGACCTCATGTAGGAAGATATGGGACAAAGAATGTGCAGAAGAAAGTTAGAAAGAATGTCAGAAAGAATGTCAGAAGATATGCCAGAAGATATGCCAGAAGATATGCCAGATAGAATGCCAGATAATATGCCAGAAGATATGCCAGATAGAATGCCAGATAGAATGCCAGAAGATTTGCCAGATAGAATGCCAGAAAATATGGCAGAAGATATGCCAGATAGATATGTCAGAAGATATGCCAGAAGATATGCCAGAAGATATGCCAGAAGATATGTCAGAATATATGCCAGAAGATATGTCAGATAGAATGCCAGAAGATATGTCAGATAGAATGCCAGAAGATATGCCAGATAGAATGCCAGAAAATATGCCAGAAGATATGCCAGATAGATATGTCAGAAGATATGCCAGAAGATATGCCAGAAGATATGCCAGAAGATATGTCAGAATATATGCCAGAAGATATGCCAGATAGAATGCCAGAAGATATGTCAGATAGAATGCCAGAAGATATGCCAGATAGAATGCATCAGATTTGCCAGATAGAATGCCAGAAGATATGCCAGATAGAATGCCAGAAGATTTGCCAGATAGAATGCCAGAAGATAGAATGCCAGAAGATATGCTAGATAGAATGCCAAATAGAATGTCAGAAGATATGTCAGATAGAATGCCAGAAGATTTGCCAGTAAGAAAATGTATAAATGTCATGGTGGGGATCACACGAAGTAAAGTAATTTGCCTGGGAGGCTCAACCACCAACCAGTCAACGAGTTTGTCACCAGTGATCACGGCGAGTTTAGAGCCGAAACTCCCAAGTCCCAAGTCGAGAACACGTTTGAACGTAGGTGGCTAAATGTCCTACGACATCAGGGTTTGAAGCACCATCAAATTAAACGGATGGTTCTTGAAGATCGTTGCCAAGGCAGATTGGGTGATGTTTCACCGGGCCGTTTCAAATTTCAGCATCCGAATAGACTGCTTGCTGATTATGGTGAGGTTCGTACTACCCGCTTCAAGAGCTAGAAAAATGCACCCCTTCCTTGGTGGGCAAGTTGGTTTGGTTTAACCCGGCTGTATCAACACCAGTTGGCAGGAAGAATTACCCTAGGGTAAACTAAGATAGATGTGGAAAACCCATGGTTTCCCTAGGGGCATGATCCACAAATGGCGGGTTGTCAGTTTACAGGAGGTTAAGTCATTTCAGAATACTTTAACCGACTTACCCAGGTGGAGGCCCACTTGCAATTCACCACCTCCGCTAAGGAAATTACAGTGCCTCTGCCGGTTCTGGTCCATGCTGTGAGCGGCGACTTGGAACGATATTGCGCAGATTTGAAATTGCTTTATTTCCATCTTTATCAACAATCACTGGTTGGTGATTTCAAACATTTTTTCCATAATATATGGGATAATCCTTGCCATTGACTAATATTTTTCAAGATGGTTAAAACTACCAACCAGATCAAAAATCAGGGGTCTTGTGCTAAACAGATGTTTTAGACCAACGCATCAGGTTTTAGATGATTTCACCAGCCAAGAGTTGAGATGTTGCCAAGAATCGTGGTTTGTCGGGTTGGGCAGGAGGACCGTGCATGGGGACGGCTACAAAGTGGCTCCCCACAGTTTACTAGTAGCAAAGTTGGTCAAAATAGAAACATTAACGATGGGTTTATGGTGGGTGCATCTACTTTTCGAATGTGTTTGTTTTGGTGGCAATGACTTTACCTTTTGAAAGCCAGCGTGATGATACTGTCTAGGGCACTCTTCGATGATCCAACCTGGGTCATCACAATCGGCATGACGATGTTCATGAGAATGACTACTGTATCAATGTCCGATGTCCTTATTCGGAATCTGGACACTGGTTGTTCAGTTCCATTTTGGGTCCATTTTAGACCTACGACTTGATAGATGCATCATCAAATGATCGCAAGGGTTTCCCAACGCATCAACCATATTGACAGTTGAAGGCATCAGCTATACCGCACAATATGCTCAATCTTTTTTATTGTGGGTGAATGGTCAGTCAGTAAATCGCCCTTTGTCCTCAACAGTAACTGCTATCGCTAAGGCTCAACATGTTTAATCCCCACAATCTGGGGACGGTCGCCCCATTTCTGGCACAAACTGGTGCTCCTGACCACATCACCAGTTTTATCTTTTATTACCCCCAAAATTTCACATCGATCCCAACACTTGTTGTCCAAAAAATGGCAGTTCATTTTTCTGGAGTTCCAAACCCAAGAATTCACATGGAACCCTAACGCTAAACCCTAAACCCTAACCCAAGAAAGCGCATGTGTTTTTCTGGGGCCACCCATGTGAATTTTCACCGCGGCGAGGAGATTCTGTCCCCATGGTCTTGTGCAAGGGCTTGAACCGAGGTGGTCGTGCCCATATGTTGCTGCTGGGCGCAACACGTTTCGGAGAGGTTGAGTATAAAACAGGGTGAAGCATAGTTTTCGAATGGGGAGATAATGGATATGTAGTTCAGGATATTGATTAATACATATGTGTCATATGTGTGTGTGTTGTTGCAACTTTACGAAGATCAACAAAGGTATTAGGGAATATTAGAATCCAACCCCCGTTCAACTCTACATTCCATTGGGAAGATCAACAAAGGTATGAGGGAATATTAGAAGCCGACCCCCGTTAACCTGTACATTCCATTGAGAAGATCAACAAAGGTATTAGGGAATATTAGAAGCCGACCCCCGTTAAACTCTACATTCCATCGGGAAGATCAACAAAGGTATTAGGGAATATTAGAATCCGACCCCGGTTAAACTTCACATTCCGTTGGGAAGATCAACAAAGGTATCAGGGAATATTAAAATCCCACCCCCGTTAACCTGTACATTCCATTGAGAAGATCAACAACGGTATTGAGGAATGATGATGGTGATGATGGTGATGATGATGATGATGATGATGATGATGATGCGTTGCCCGTTGTCGTTGCGGTTCGGGGCAAAGCCCAGGCATTTGCACTGCGTATATATATATATATAGAAATTGTTTGAAAGAAATATATATATACATGTAAAGATATACATATATATATAGAAATATATGTAAATATATAAATAAAAATATATGTATATATATATAGAAAGTATATATATAGTATATATTTATAGAAATATATATACAGAAATATATACATATATATATATATATTTAGAAATAAATAAATAAATATATATCTATATATATATAGTGATCCTAAAGTAGATTTAATACTTTTTTGGAGAGTGCGGGATTTGTGTTGGAATTATGTTGGATGTTGGCCACTAAAAAAATGTAGTTGGAATATTTCGACCCCCCGGGGAGGTCGAAAACTAGTAGTTGGAATATGGTTTGGAGGGGTAGATAGAATATTGTTGTTCAAAGTGGCCCATTTACTTCAGGGTATTACGCAATTACCCGTACATACTCATGTAAAGGGATGACTATAAATACATACCATGCAGGTATGCAAAGATAAGTGCACAATTTACTAACATAATGCGTATCCTGCGGAAAAACATTCTCAAGCTGCTGTGGGGTCTGCGCGTTGTGTTCACAATTCCCTCAACATATTCTATCTATATACCTGGTTTGAAACAGTATTCTATCTATTTTTTGGTGTTGTTTGATTTTTGTGTGTTTTTCAATATTTCTCCAGACCCGTGTCCAAAACTGGCTAAAAATGACTTTAACGGGGGCGAAAAACGTGTAAAAACTGAGGGTTTTGAACATATTCCAACTATTTGTTTTTTCGAAAATCCTTTTTGAAAATTTCCGATATTCTATCTACTCCAGGACGACTCTATATATATATATTATACACCCATGCGCAGACACATACACACATATATATATATACACATACATGCAAACACATACAACAGATACAAGCAGATAGTAACAGATACTAACAGATACTAACAGGTGCAAACAATCATACGTATATACGTACATACGTACATGCATACGGACATACGTATACGTACCTACCTACATACCTGCATTCTTACATGCCTACACACATACATATATACATATAAATAATTAATACTATAGTCCTTTTCACGACAGGGTCGCCATACATGATGGGAATTGCATAGGGTTATCTCCAACATGGCCTATTGAATTGATTTGTGAAGTGTAAAGAATGGATATTTGGCCGATAAATGGATGTAAATGGCTTTGTCCCATGAAACCCGGGTACCGGAAAATGGCTAGTGTATCGTGAAAATGATGATGAACCATGGGATTATCCACACACATCTTATTTCCTGATCGTATTTGATTTTGTCCATATTCTTCCCCTACCAAGGTGTGCTGGAATCATTTCAGATCATTTCAGATCCAAAGTCGCACAGCGAAGTCGAGGTTTGCGATTTCAGATGAAGAAGACAAGCTGACGCAGGGCTTTCAGGTCACGTCGGCCTGGGGCCGCTGACCACGATGGGGAAACCAGGTTGTTTCTTGCTGGCCATGGATCTCAGGGCGAAACCCAAAATTCCTGGTAGTTTGACGTGTGCCTTGGGTAAGCCTTGGTTGAGTCAGTGGGCTCATTTTTGGCGAAAAAAGTAAAGGATTATGCGCCATTGATCAGTGTATGAGCCTTCATGAGCCCAATCAGCTCAACCAGAATGGCTGTTTGCGTTCGTACTTGACATTTGCATAGCTGCGCCATATATCATTTTGATGAAACCTTTGTGCTAGGTGACAGTTCATGCTTGCTAGGGCAGCTAGAGCAGCTAAAGCTCAAGCCTTGAGCCAATTGGAAGTCCATCACTTTTCGCGAACCTTTTTCCATTCCCAACTTGGGCCCTTGAAGGGCCTGAGGCCGCAACTTTTTCATCTTGTTTCTTTTCTTGCAACAGGGGCAATCAAACAGGGCCATGGAACATGCCAATTGCTACGTGATTTCTACCTAGATGGATGTTGGAACGCCTGCGAGGATTCCTGCAACATTTTGGTGTACGTCAACATGGCCAAGGTGCAATCCGCCAATTGATTTTACGCTAGGGTAAACATACAAAAAATGTGGAAAACCCATGGTTTCCTTAGGAAAACAATCTATAGTGACGGACAATTTCTCTTAGAACGTATTTTGGAAAAACTTTTTGTTCATTAGAGCTGGAAGGACGTTCTTAGTGTCACATTTAGAACATGAGAAGTTACATCACTTAGAACATGGTGGGAATCAATTCATCACTTAGAACCTACCCAAAAATTTAACACTTAGAACGTACCCAAGTATATATTTAATTGTATGTATAGACATATCACATGTTATTTATTCATACACATGCGACGGACAACTACTTGAAATGTTCTAAGTGTTGAATTTGCCCCTGTGTTCGAAGTGTTGGGTGATGCTCTAAGTGTTGAAAACATGCCTATGTTCTAAGTGTTGATTTATGTCTACGTTCTAAGTAGAAAAAACAATTTGGACAAATTACGTTCTAAGTAATTGTCCGTCGCTATACACATAGTGGATTTTCCACGTCTATGTTACTTTACCCAAGGGTATTTGGGAATGAACATCTAATGCAATAGGTGTAACTAGGAGCACGGCCTCTAGAAGGCCGTAGGGTTTTTTGTGATCAACGGGGTGTCATGGATCATGTTTGATGTGCTCGTGCCAATAGGATTTTGTTTGATGTGAATTTTAAGGCCGTTAACCCCTTATTCTGGTGCAGTTTTTCAAAAACTGGTATTTCGCCTAGACGAAACTAGCATTTTCGTTTTTTTTGCCGAGGCTGAAACTACTTTGCTCTGACATGTTTTTAGTCGTCTGTTGAGCAGCGCTTCTAGTTCTTCCAAGAACCTTTGAGGCTCTGGATTTTCCAAGTTACAACGCCAGCACCACATGAACACATATTGTGTCACTGAAGGGTGCAAACTTCAAGACAACTTACAGTAGCATGGCATGATGCATGAATGCAAAGCGTAAGACGACTTACAGCAGCGTGGCATGACGTATGAATGCAAAGTTCAAGAGAACTTAAAGTAGCGTAGCATGACGTATGAGTGGAAAGTTCAATAGAAATTACTGTAGCCTAGCATGACGTGTGAGTGGGAAGTTCAAGAGAACTTACAGTAGCGTGGCATGACGTATGAGTGGAAAGTTCAAGAGAAAATACAGTAGCGTAGAATGAGGCATGAATGCAAAGTTCAAGAGAACTTACAGAAGTTTAGCATGATGTATGAATGCAAAGTTCAAGAGAACCTACAGTAGCGTAGCATGACGTATCAAAGTTCAAGAGAACTTACACTAGCGTAGCATGAGCGTGGCATGACGTATGAGTGGAAAGTTCAAGACAACTTACAGTAGCATGGCATGACGCATGAATGCAAAGCTTAAGACGACTTACAGTAGCGTGGCATGACGTATGAATGCAAAGTTCAAGAGAACTTACAGTAGCGTAGCATGACGTATGAATGCAAAGTTCAAGAGAACTTGCAATAGCAGCCAGAGAGTAGCATGTCCTTCATCAGTAAGTTCACATGAACGTTAATACATGCCCCACCCCACCACACCCCACAAATGAATACATGCACCTGCCGGCAGCCACAGAGTAGCATGCCCTTAATACATCCCCACCCCCCCCGCCCCACCCCACCCGACCCCACCCCCCCCAATGTCCACAAAACACCACGGCCTTCTAAAGGCCGTGGTCCAACTAAGCTATTGCTAATTCTTACTTATACTTATTGAAGGTACATGCAAACTATTAGGGAATCAGAAATTCCTGTTGAAAAAATCTGAGGAAACTATTTGCTTAGGCATTGAAGCCGGTTATGTTTGGACAGGATGTAATGATTTTTCCCTATTCGCCATCTTACATTGTGACCTTTCAAATCGAATGTTGAGGTTGTTGTTGGAGTTGGTTTGTTTGAAAATATTATCTACCAACCAGAGTGGAAGATTTGGGTGAGCTGTCCAAATATTGGAAAAATTCTTCAGGCCCCACCCTGAAGATTTTCAGTGTGAGGCCGCTGCATCTACAGCTCTTCCAGCACCCCTTGGCTGTCTTCTTGCCCATCCCAGAAATTTACAGTTTGCAAGATTTCAAACACAAGGTCTGCAAAGCCTTGTGCGATGAAGGGGTGGAGGTCCCCATTCCTACCTCGCCTCCACCCCGAAACTTATTTAATGGATGTAATGTGGCCAGAAGGCACATAAAGGCCACTCACCACCAGGTGTCCCATGCCTTGAAGTCGGTGGAGGTGGAGGAGGTTTGGGTAGGGCAATTTGGTGGAAAGGTCCCATGAGTCCTTCCATTGCTTTTGACATGGGCGGGTGCCTCAAGGAAAAACCTTCCATTTCCCCATTTCCCCTTTGGAATCTTTGGTGGCAGGGCGCAGATTCGAATAGGGAGGTGTGCATTGAAAGGATACATTCATCCCGTTCGTCTAGGCTTTTCCCAGCCTGATGATGATGAAGACAGAGTTTGGGGCACACTTGAATTCAGATTTGCAGGACCAGCAGAAGAATTCGTGCGAGCATACTCTTCCAGGAGCCATGTCATCAAGGCTTGTGGAGAATACAGGCTGGTCCAACCCCAAACAATGAAACGCTTGCGGTCCAGAAAGCAAGAGGCCATCAACCTGGTTGACACCATGCTGAGCAACCTGGACAAGGTGGGCGGGGCCAGACTGGAACAAAGGTCTCCACATGTTGGATCTTCACTGGCGGGGAAGATCTGGATGTGGCCCAAAACTTGTTGAAGGAGGTGTGCCAATATTTGGGTGAGCCTGCAGCTGAAATTTCCATCCACAGGATCCCTGTTCCTGATTACAGAGATTTCCTTAAAAAGGAAATGAAGGCTGTAGTTTTCAAAGCCACCTTTAGGGGCATGCGGGGCCAGAAACAGAAGAACAGCATGAGGCCTTCGGACAGAAAGTCAAGCAGTGGGCTGGCTTAATGTTGAACATCGGCCTGTTCTCTGGCCAGTTTGGCAGGCTGATTACAAATCGGTCCAGCTGCCAAAATGCCCCAGACATATCTTTCAACACACCCAAAAGACCCACCGAGCCCAGCAAGGCCAAGCCTATGGACACACCCATGCCTGTGGACACACCCAGGACTGTGGACACATCTGCAATGGCAAGCCCAGCCACCACAAGAAGGCCAAGCTGCAGGTTTCGTGGCCCCTTCGCCAAAGGATGTGAAAACAGAAGGGGGGCCCTAAACCCCACAGATGCAGAGCATCCTTGAGTAGGTCAATTTTGCAGCCAGGGGCAAGGAGGGTAAGTTTGTGGCTTTCCCAAGGGACTGTGCACCCTGTCAAGAGTGAGCAAAACGTGAGGGTTTTGTCGCATTTTCAACTACAACCACCACTGCACCACACTACACTCCAATACATTACACTGTCCAAGCAGCTAACACCAGAGGTCTTGGAGCAGGCAAGGGAAGATCTCACTGGCCATATTCTCGAGCCACTCATAGCCGATGATGGCCTTGCACAATTTTGGAAGATTGTGAGGGTTTTTGTTGAAACGCCCATTTCGACACAAACCAACATGGCCACCGAAAGAGAATCTCTGCATTTTTTCCCGGACCAGTCTGTGGTGGACGACAAACTTCCATTGGATACGATGGAGAAAGATGTTGCTGTTGGCTTTTGCTCTTGACGATGTTTGGGGTCATCATCTTCAGTAATCCCTCCGTTCATATGAAACAGCCTGCCCGGAAACTATGGTTTAGTAGGTGACTTACACATATTGGAACCAGTTAGGAGGTATTTGACCTTGGGGGATGGGATTGGTTGTGTATGAAGCATTCATCTCCTAGCCTAAACCACTGCACAAAAACACATACCTCCAGGGAGGTTGTCCACCATCAGCCATTGCTAGATTTACCTGCCGTCGGCTGATCATCAGGTTTTTCTATGTGCGGCAATTTGATTCACCCCAAAGCTGGAGCCATCCCAGCAACTACCCCCCCCCATATGTTTAACGGAAAAAACAAGGGTTTCAATTCCCTATGTTTTTTTCTGAAGCCAATCCATGATAATTATATTTTGAGATCGTTCTTTTGTTGACTGGTTCCATCCCTTCCTATCCCCAGAAGAAGTTGCTTCTATACCCTCATCACTTTGATGATGACATCACCGTGTGGGGCAATTTATGACATCATTTAAAATATAAAAGAACACATGCATGACCCCCCTCGGTTTCATTGTAAAACTAAAGCCAACAATTTCAAGAAAGCTGCACTTAGTTACACAGAATTGATGGTTGTTCCCCCTAAAACAATTCAACCTGTGATGAAATCAATCCCCCCAAAGAATCCCCCAACCCAAAGGTTGGATGGAAAAACCCAGCGTCAGGCCAATATCTATATCTTATTTCTGGTTAGTTCTCATTCTATGCCCAGAAAAACACAATAAAATAGATTGATGGTCCGACGGTCCCCAGAAAATTGCTGGTTAGGTTTGGTTGGATCTCATTCTATTCCCATTCAATCGGTATTCATCGGTATTCTATCCATGTAACTTTGACCGTTAAATCACTATGTATAGCCAAAAGGATCATCCATTTATCTCATTGTTAATCCCATCAATCCCATTAATCCAAGATTATATCGAATCAAAACCTTATAAAGAACAACTTTGATATGTAAATGAACGATACCAACTCTAAATCCCCATGGTTTCTTTTGGTGATTTTTTTTGCCACCTTTTTCGAAGGTGTTTTGTGTGGGCACCTGGGCACCAGGCCATGTTTGCGGGCATCCCTTTCAATTGGGCGCCGGATGGCATGGTGGTCTCCGTGGGGCTCCCGGAGCGCCCGGAGCGCCCGGAGCGCAAGAACCGACGGAAGAGCGAGAAGGCGTGGGATTTCATGGGATTTAATCACTAAAGATGAGGATTTGATGGGATATATAGTATATATGTTATTGATATATACAATTATATATATATGTTATTGATATATATAATTATATATATGTTTTTGATATATATAATTATATATATATGTTATTGATATATTTAATTATATATATATGTTATTGATATATATAATTTTATATATGTATATATATGTTATTGATCAATATAGATTTTTTTTTTAATATATGTTTTTGAAATATATGATTATATATATATATATATGTTATTGATAAATATAATTATATATATATGTTATTGATATATTTAATTATATATATATGTTATTGATATATATAATTTTATATATGTATATATATGTTATTGATCAATAGTTATATATATATGTTATTGATATATATAATTATATATATATGTTATTTATATATTATATATATATGTTATTGATATATATGATTATATATATGTTATTGATATATATAATTATATATATATGTTATTGATAAATATAATTATATATATATGTTTTTGATATATATCTTTAGATGTTTATTTATATATGTATAAATGGGGATATCATGGGATATCACTAACCAATTCTATTTTGAGCTGGATCTGAAAAGGGCAGGACGTACTTCCAACACGAAGAGTTTAATCTTGAAAAACCATGGACCAAACGAGGTTTTACAAGCGCTGCATAGGGAATTAAAGAACTGGTTGGGCATTTACTCGGCCAGCCGACTTGATGGATACATTAGCTTTGAAACCAGCTACGGAGGCAAACATGCAGGGTATATCTAGGATTGGCCTTGTTTCGCTAATGTGGAACATGATAAACCATGGGAACTTTGTGGCTATAAAATGGCCCACTATAACTATATCCCTACAGCGTGAAGTCAAAAATTCATGACGTGGTCACTTGGAATTGCCGGGATCAGGGAGAAGTCAGTCTGGCATGAAATGTGGATCATTTATGGTGACAGACAGTGGGCAACGGATGAGCAAACTAGGTGAACGATGATGATGATGATGATGATGATGATGATGCTGATGGTGAATGTAACATATGGCAACAATGACCACAATCAATCGGTTAAAACACCTCAGATAATCTCAAACGTATTTCATTTCCATCCGTGAATGGTTAAAAAAATGATATTCCTAGTCTTCTTAACTGCGTTGTTCAACCATTTTTCCAGTGCCATACCATATATTTTCATGACCATGGCCGTTATATAATCATTGGATTGGTTTACGGACAATTTACAGGAATCCCCCTTGATCTTCATGGTAAAAACCATTGTTTCCGGCGAACAATTTCCCAACCAATCCACTGATATAAGCCATGATATATGACAATGGTAATGGTTGGACTCCTAGTCATATATACTAATAGCAATGGTTATGGTTGAATTCCATCTTTTCATAACATTACCATGGCCATGACCATATCTAAATCATCCATTTTATAGATGGATTTTCCATTTTCCATGAAAACTTCACCATCCAGCTATGGGCTATGGGGATACATCCCTTGATGGAAACCCCCATGACCATTGCTGGATTGGTTGACAAGTTCACCATCTCAAGGCCGGCACCATCCCTGCCGACTTCATTCTGCGCGTGGCCAACCGTAACGAGAAGTCCGGCGCCGCGTCGGGTGGCCCCGGGGCTCAAGGCCGATGAGCGATCCCGGAGCGGCAAAGGGGGGGAAGGTTCCCATGAAATCTTATGATGTCCAACTTTTCATAAGTGTTCATTTCTGTAGTATATATGGTATCAGATGTACTTGTTCACTAGGAAGTTAGGGTACATAGCTAGAATATTGCAGGTTTGTGGATAATTCCAGATGAACATGAACAAATTGGTGATATGAACTCTCATTCGCAAACACGCTTAAACATTCCTAGTACTTCGATGCAATCGATGTTCGCAGTGATGGTTGGTCTTCCAGATCATTCAAGGGGAATTCCGGAGGTGGCCGTGAGTAGACTTCCAGGGACCGCAGGGAATCATTCATAGTATGTTTGCAAATGGCCCTGCTAAAAAAGTTGGGATATCCCCATTTTCAGACAGCACATGGGAGATAGTCAGATAGTTGATCGTATATCCAATTTTAAACGCATCAATGTCCCATTAAAACATGTTAAGTCTGTAATTTGTGACGAAACCCTAAAAAATAATCAAAAATAAAGGTGTATGAAATGCTCCCACCTTCATCTGAGCATCTAGTTTTACACTGTTTTACACTGTTTTCATAATTTTTCATACATCAGCAGTTCGCCTGTCCTTTGGCTGGAAAATTGGGCTGGGCCCTCGAAAGTCCATCCAATCGTGGATTTTTCGCCATTCAAAAGGCTGACTTTCCATAGCGGCTATTGTTTGTTGACCTGTGAGTAGTAGTGATCAAAAAAACTCACTTTGAAGCTGCAACTGGTTGGGTATAATTGATATGGTATGATAACCATCGAACCAACAAACCAACTTACAGTACTATAGTATACTATAGTCATAAACCCTTCTAAATCAGTTTTTTTTGCTGATTGATTAACGCCCCCCTTTTGTGTGGTTGTTGAATGAAGTTGAATCCCCCCAAAAAATGGTCCCTGCCAGCGGTTGCCACATTTTATTCTGCAGGCATTTTGCCATTGCCAGAGGGGAACCTTGGCAGTCACGGTAGATGGTCATTCAGGGCGTCGGAATCATCCCAAGATAATCTGAGCATTTTAAGGCTGAAATGGGTATCATATTACCCTCTGGTAAACTGTTACATAGCTATGGAAATTCACCATTTTTACGAGGTAAATCAACGAACTAAATGGGGAATTTTCAATAGCTATATTAAATTACCGGAGGGTATTAAATTCAGCCAGATACTTGGATGCTTGCACTTGGGACGTGGCTGGTAGGCAAAAAGGATTTGTGTTCATTTTTGCACCACAGACACGTGTTGTAAGCTTTCACAATGGTGGAGAGAGATATTATGAATGCGTGCGGCTGACTATGACTAATATACTCGGCAACCTAGTCAGGGTGAAGAAGCATGGCTACAACCCACCTAGAAATGTGAACTGGCTTTCCATTCTTGAACCAGCAGCAGAAATAACTGCTTCCCACTTTTGCCACTTGCAGCACTTGCTGTGGCTTGATTTGTTCAGGTCTTTTCACAATTCTCACCACTTTGCAAAAACATTAATATCAAGTCAGTCATATTTCCCGGGGAAGTGGAGGCAGAGAAGCGTATTGTGAAAACAGTACCATCCAGGTCCAAACTTTGAGGCTTGAAGTCAGGCAGGTGAGGGTTACCAATTGCACCAAAGCCACACCGGTGACACAGTGAATTTTCTGGGGAAAACCAAACCTGTAAAGAAACGCAGCTAACCATCCATTCTCTAAAGGGTATGTTACATTGGTTGATGTGTCTAGATGACTGTCCTTCAATCGCTCCAGAATTGGAGGATAAGGTATGTTTTGATATGGTTTCTTTGTTGCTCCAGGGGTCGATGAATTCAACGGGGGATTCAAAACCCGTTTAAACGGTGATTTTCAAAATATGAAAAGCGGTTCCCGCTGGGCTCTAAAACCAAGGACTTGGGGTCAAAATGGATATCAGAATCCAAGTCAAGCTCCTTGGCGATGGGATGAGACGGAGGTCCCAGGAGGGCTCAGATGATCTCAGGTTAGGCCAATCTGGAGCCGGAATCTGGGGACCGTTCTAGATGATTTATAAAGCCATCTGTACCCATGACTGGGTCCCCATAGATCCAACATTCAACCAGGGCAGTCGGACATTAGGAGGCTGGGATTGGTCATGGCCATGGCTGTGGATGGGATGATCGAAGATGAGATCGTCGTCCTAGACTTTTACAACTCAAAAAGGATGACCGGCCGCAACACAGTCAAACACAAGACACTTGGATATGTGGAGGTGTTCGCGCAAAAAATGGGTGGAAAACACGCACTATATATATATAATATAAAAAAAGAAATAGATAGATAAATAAATAAATAATATGTATATATATATAACTCCGAGAATTCCCAATCCCCACATTCGTTTTATTGTTTTGCGATATCACCACAGTCATGAGGATCTTCTGAGGATGGTCACAGGCACCGCAGGATGGGAGAGCCGTTACAAATAGCCTGGTGAAGTGGTGAATTTGTTGAGACTTACACTCTGGTAATTTAACATAGCTATTGAGCATGGCCATTTATAGTGAGTTTTCCTATTAAACATGGTGATTTTCCATAGTTATGTTAGTTTACCAGAAGGTAAAGCTAATGAAATTTGGGGATTGTTATAAACCATAGGATTGTGAAACCTATCAACTAACTAGATTAATGATCTTAGGGTGGTAAAAAAGGGGCTATCTTGCCTCTGGGCCTTCGAGAGTTGAAATCTTCGGGAAAAGCCACTGGAAAAGCCATCCAGGAATCCAGAAACATCTCTGGAGACACATTTGTGGGTGCTTGATGGTATTTTCAATGATAAGCATTGAGTAAACGTACATATAAGTAATATTATTATACTGAAATGTTCATATGATATATTCTTTGGAGGTGTTGATTCTTTGGATAGATGAACCAGTGAGTGCCTGCCACTGATTTCCTATTGAGAAAAACATTTTGGATCCAAGGCAGCATGCCCACACGCAAAAAGAGAGGGGTGGCTGGCAAATGCACATTGCCAGCTGGTTTTGTCCACAACCGGTCTTTTGCTGAGGTTTTGTTGGGATCTGTCTGGGGGCTGGACCATTTTTGGGATTTGGGTGTTTTTTTTTCAGGTTTTTATGGGATTTTGATAGGCACGTATTGATGTTAAAGTGTTTGGGTTTGCTTTGATTTGGCTCATTTTGGGGATTTTTGTTGGATTTGTTCAGGTTTGTGTGGGGGTTGATTAGCATTTAGTCGGATCTGTTTAGGTTTTGGTGAGGTTGTTGCAGGCTCTAGTTGGTTTTATATAACTGGTTGGGGTTTGTGTGGGTTTGGCCATGTTTGGCCCATATTCGGGATTGTGGTGGGCCCAGACTGCCCAAGGTTGCTGGTTTTGAGTAGGGAACCTTTGGGGATTGACTGGCTAGATTTAAAATGATTTAAATGGGATTTCACTAGGTATCCATGGTGTTTGTGAAGGGTTTCTGTGTGATTCTAGGGGTTTGTGTTGGAAATCCATGGGCCTAAGAAAATCAAAAAGACCGCTAACAGAATAGCCTCATAAACCGCTGTATGAAATGAGATGGGGTAGGGGTATTTTTATTTGCTCAATGATTTGTTTGTTACCGAAAACAGGGGCGATGATGCCTTTGGCGCCTCTGGCTGTGCATGTTCTTCGGCTGGTTGAACCAGCCAGCTTAATTTGGGAAGGGTCATCGTGTCAATCCTACGAGATCCTATGAGGTCTAGTGTAAAGTGACTGGCTAATTCCAAAGCTTCGAAATGATGCGAGTTAAGTATCCTGGGTCTCCAAAAAATGGAATTAGTTAGATCTAATGAATTCGACTTAACTATATAATTGAGAACTATATATAGAACCCCCCCGAAAAAGGCCAGTGTTTTCCGGGATTTTGGGATGTTCGTTCGGCGATATTGACTTCATACTTCCAGGTTTCACGCTTCAGTTCCGCAGGCGGAAACCCAGCACCGGCGCCGGTACCGACCATCAGCGGATTGAGGCTGGCAGATCGGACTTGAAGACTGGCGAGATTGGGAACCTAGCAGTTGTAGTTAGCATGTTAATTATGAACTAATGTGGTTAAAACAATAATAAACCACCCATTTGGGAATGGTTTATACCACCCATTTATGGTGATTTTGTTTGTTAGACCAGGTTATATACATAACTATGATTATGGACCATAGCTGCTAGGTATTAACTATGTCAACCATAAAGGTATGCTTAGTTATAAACTTTAAAAGTGTTCATGATGTCAACCCAAACTCTTAATCCCTGAACTAAATGAAAGTTTAATGCTGGGACCATCATCTATAAATGGGACTTGCATGGGATGAGTTTGAGTCTTCAACTCCTCCGGTACATCTCCGATATTCTCGTAAAACATTCCCCAGCATGGGATGATGCACCTGGGTCTGTTTGAACAACTCATCCCCAAAGAATGGCCAGCTTGGCATTTCTGGACCATATCAATTGGTTAAATCCTTATGACTGTTGGTGGAATCACCATTTACTTTACAGATGTAACATCCTATTGTAGGTAAAACTTTGGTGTCCTATCGGATTTTGTTGATCCAATGCCTAGGCCTAGGCAACCTCCACCCAACTTGGTAGATGACATCATGATTATTCATGATTTCATGTTTCATCCCAATGTTTGATGGTGATTTTTTTTTTGGTGAAATCCAGTTGCTTTTTGTTAATGTTCCATTGGTTGCCAGTGAAATCCCCATCTATATTCTCAGTTATGTCATTTTATATCCCCATTTCTTCCCAGTGAAATCACAATTTCTGATTCATTGTTCGAGTTTTTCACCGAATCCTTGATGTGTTTCTTTAAAATCAAATTTTCACCACGAAATCCCAACCGTCATGGTTTTTTCATGGTTTCCCCCCTAAATTCTCCACTAAAATGCATCAACTCCTTGTTTTTTTCCATGTTTTTGTCCCACCATTTTGAGAAGGGACGAGGTCGAAATCGCCAGGCCGCACCTGAAGGGTGAACCGGCGGAGGCTTCCGCAGAGGTGGGTTTAGAGCCGCAGATGGTGGATTTCATGGGAAAATTGGGTTTTTCATGGAGATTTTCATGGGTTTTTCATGGATTTCATGGGAATATCATGGGATAACCAAGTATAACCAAGTACATAAATCTAGTAAAGGATCCCGATTGAAATTTATAGGATATAATGGGATTTAAGAATCTTATTGTATATATATATATATGTATATATGTATGTATATATATATATATATGTCTGTGTGTGTGTGCATGGTTCCTAAGATTGGGGGACCGTATTTCTTACTCTTGCAATCTTTTGTACAATTCACTGATTTACTGGATTTGATGGGTAACAACGGTAGTAATCCCTTCCCTCCAATATTTTTTGCACCTCCCAGAAAGCATGGTCAATGTAGGGGATGTACACATATTGGGGACCATCTAGGATGTGTTTGGTATTGGCGGGGATGGGATTGCTTGAAAAAGGACTGGATTTACAGTACCTCATACTTATATTAGATAATGGGGTTTAACTATCGGCCTGGAAGGGAGGACGTGCAGGTTTCATCTTGTCATTTGATGGGTAAACGAAGAGTCAAATACTATGTTTGATGGGTAGACTCGATAAATGAAGCATCGAGAGAGATGATGTCTGATATCTGGATATATCCGGCTTGAAAACTCACCCCCAAGTACTTGTGGAAGTATTTCTGCTGATTGATTGTGGAGACGAGCAGCTGGAATCACTAAAGGATGTACTTGTTGGGAAACTCAAGAATGAGCCATACCTGATTTTCCCCAAGGTTTTATGATGTTTTATTTTATGATATCGAATTGATGATGGATTTTTTAGAGTTTCTTTTAGAAGATGAGTTTTTTTTTGCTTTTCGGAATGGATCCATGTAGGTTTTCGGTGATGTTCGGAGACCACAGTGACGTACCCTCTGGTTATGTCAAAATAGCTATTGAAAATGGCCATAGAAATAGTGGATTTTTCCATTAAAAATGGTGATTTTCCATAGTTATGTGACAGTTTACCAGAGGGTAAATCCATGAACATGAAACATATCTGAACATATACACCTTATAAATGAGCCTCTTCTGCCTGATAAATGATGCATTTTTCAATTTAATCATATTTACTATGGGAACCATTGCCATATTTCTAATTATTAATTGCCGTTTATTCTAATTATTTGACTTAATAATTTAATACTGGTTCTAATGTTACTGGAATGATTATTAAAACAAATACATGTTATTTCTAATTAGCAATTTTTAATTATTTGTTTTATTCTAATTATTTGTTTTAATAATGGTTCTAATTTAAATAGAACAGCTACATGTTACCGGAATCCTCTGCAACAACTTGGACGAATGGATCAACGGAAGAGGCCTATGAGAAGCTGCAGCAGCTGATGCAACTGCAACAGCAAGAGGCCAGCTGTTTTTTTTTGGGACTTCAGGAGAGAAACCAGATGATAAACTTGATGTTTGAATATGTTTGATAACTGAACATATTGAACTGGAAAGAATTGGGGATTATTTCCGGTTTTGGGGTTGCCACATTCAACATTGGCCGGGCGCTGCGAGCCTTACGGCTCTCTGCAGATTCTGGACTGGGGGTTGCTTTCTAATCCTTTCCCTATTACATATGATACTGTAGACGACCAGACATGTCGCGCAGACTTTTTCCGCGCACAAACCCCAAGGCCCAATGTTGAGCCGGTACGACTTCGGTAGAACACATCCACCACTGAAAGGATTCCAGGCAGGTACAGCTAAATCCACACTGCCCAGACTCTAAATGCCTGGAATCAGAAAAAGAAGAGAATGGGAATCTTGTTTGAATCCCAATTCTGTCAAGGACCACCGGCCTTTTTGCATCACTTCTCGGAGGAATGAACTACCCATTTTCTTAGTTAAGCTATCGGCAACCATTCGAGACCCTTCGATCCATCTCACCTGGCCCTTGGTCTTTCGGAAATCTCTTTTCAGTATCGTCACATCGATGGCCGTCCTCTTGTCTTCTATGTGAGCTGCTGTGTTACAGCACTTCTGGATCGTGTCGTAGAGGGATTTGCTGTCCGTCACAGCAATGCAAGGAAGTTGGCTAATCTCCTCCTCCCAGTTGTCAAGGTCCAGTGGCCGTCCTTCTGATTCACGAACTAGAAAGCGAAGCCAATGGAGTGCTCCAACACCTTGTAGCATCGCCTGACATTCAGCTGACAGAGTATTGACTGTGCACCTCTTTATGCGAAAGCTTTTCCAGTTGATGATGGTGATGGGAAAAGACCGTTCCTCAGTTTCCATTCTGCTGTCGTAGAAGAAGGTCATGAATCCACCCTGACTAGCCAATCGACCCTGTTGTAGAAACTTCTCGTTGACCTTGGTCTTTGGAGCTCCGTCATTCTTTTTCTTGTAGAAAATAGTCTGTCCACACCAAGGTTCATCTCCATATGTTCTGGTACTTGTCCGACTGTTCCATTCATCTCGATGTTCTTGTCCATCCGCAATCGTGACCCTCTCGGGCGCCAAGTGGTAGCAATCTGGTCCATGGGGATCTCCAGCTGGATGAAATAGGAGACGACGTGGTTGAACGTGATGTCGAATCCAGCAGTTCTCCTTCTCTTCCCAGAAGTCTTTCCTCGCAGCTGTATTGTCCTCTTCCTTCTCTGGTTTGGTGTTTCCCCATGAAGCGTCAGAAACTGTTCCCACTCGAAGGTTGGCCATTGGGATTGGTTGTATTGTAATCCCAATCTCGGCAAATTGGATCGCCTCCTTGGCCAGGACGTTCGCCTCTATGATCTCCTGCACAAACGGGTTCGGCATGGATTGTTGTAACAATGCAACCCGACCAGCTAAATCAGGTCTGGTCTCCTTGGCCAGCCAGGATAAACTTCCGAGGAGGCCTCGAAGCTGACTGATTTCATGATCAGTACAGTATGCATATTTCTCTTGCTTTCGTTCGCGTGGTAAGGAGATGGGCTGGATCTTTCGGGCAAACATGGGCTGGTTGACCAAGAAGCTTCCATCAGGTTGGCAGTGAATCTCCTTACCGACAAAACGTCCATCACCTTTTGAAAACTTTCCCAATTTGTAGTTCTCATTCAGCCACTGCATCTTCTTCCAGTGATCCTCATCTCCACCATGTAGTAGATCATCGGTGGCTACGCTGATGATACCCTTCAACTTTTTGGTCTCGTCATCGGCAGTCAAGTAGAATAGGCAGGGGTCTCCAGCGCTTTGGCGATAGCCCAGTTTCTTCGTGAGTACCTTCAGAAGGTGTTGATACCAAGCATACGGTCCATCCAACAGGCCATAGCAAGTCTTCTTCAATTTGAGTAACTGTCGAGGATGGTACCCTGGTAATCCACATTCACTGGGTTGGGACGCATAAACCTCTCGGTCGATTTGGTCACCACTATGGAAGGCTTGGGTGAAATCAAGGTAACCAGGAATCCAAAAATGGCTGCAAATCAATTGCAAGACGCAGAGTACAGTATCCCTTGCACATTGTGGTGTTGTTGTTTCTAACTCCTCTGCATTTGTTTCGCTGAAACCTTTCATAACATGTCTTGCCTTTGCCTTGGAACTTTCGCCTCCTTTGTCTTCCAACAGGATTCCATCTTTTCTCGCTTTCTCGACATCATCTTGCTCTATCGGTTTCTCAGTCAGAACAAACCGAGATTTGACAATCTTCTCTCCCGCTGTTCGTCGGATCTCCTCTGAGGTGACTGGGTCCAGGACTTCATAGGCATTTGTCTCAAGGTTGTTCTGGATCTCCTTCTTGATGGCGGCTATGAATTGTCCCTTTTTCTGAGGAGGGATCTGGTTGAACTGGACCTCCTTCTTCATCTTTGCCTGCAGCATCTTCTCAACGCTGTTCAGGTAGAGCTCCAGAAAACGTGTCCTCAGTCTTTTTGACTCAGGTTCTCCTGCTGATGGCTCCTCGTCATCGTCATCGTCATAGGTCTCGACAGTCTCGCGAGGTCGAACTTCTCCTCGTTGTGGTTCCTCAAGAGGCTCCTCCGGCTCGTACTCGTTTTCCTCCATATTAGGATCAACCGGCTTAAAATCTCCGGTATCCCCCTGTTGATCTTGTCGTGACTTCTTCACGGGTGGTTCGTCTTCATGAGGTTCACGAGATAGATTCTGCTTGTCCTTCCGGACATCAAACTCCGTTCGTCCGGTCCAAGGTGTCATCATTTCCAACTCGATCTTCTCAAACCAATCATCAGTAAGATTGAAGTCTCGACCAGTGTTGACGTATTTGCCAAACGTCCTCCTTTGATGACCAATCAGTTCTTGATCTATAGGACAGTCGGCAGATGCCTCATCAGGGGAAAACAGCCAGTCTCGTGGTTGATGATGAAAACGGACCAGAAGCTGAAGTGCTTCATCAAAGTACCACTCGTCCTTCTTCTCGTCGTCCTTGTAGATGACTTCTCGATGGTCTCGTTTTCCCACCAGTCGGTAATGAGGTTGTTTACCTTGATCTTCAAGACGTCTTTCTTGAGCATCTTCGTCCTTCTCAAACTCCGGGAAGGTCTCCTTGGATAGATCGATATAGCCCACCCGAGGTTGTTGTTCGAGATCTTGTCTTGTTTGGGCAATATCATCAATCCATTTGGTCAGTGTAAATTGTTCTTCTTCACTGGCCATTCTGAGTTGTTCAGGTGCAGCCTTGACGATGTATCCTCGATAGTTCAGCCACACTGTACTGGGTGGTGATGTCAGCACCACTCTGGCGGGACCTCGCCAGTATTCAGGGCTGTCACGTTTAGCCCCCTCCATTCCTTTTCTCCAGAAGTAGACGGTTTGACCCACTTCATAGTCTTGTAGTCTGCGAGGTCCTGCATGTAGGGTGTTCTTGATTGCTTGTTGACAATCAGCTTCGTGGAACGCACGTGCTGCTGCCAGTCGCATTTCATTAGCCTTTTGTAGTTGAAGATCACCTCCACGAAGACTTCGACTGGAGAAATCATTGTACCCCCCAGTCATCACCCCGCCAGGAATTCGAGGGCTATAGCCCAGAACTCTCTGAATCGGGCTAAATCCCGATTTATTGACAAGACGATTGCACGTCATGTTGGCAATGTCCAGCAAGAGCTCCCACTCCTCCTCGGTTTGGCAGGTGTACTGCATGAGGGTCCTGCTGAAGACCTCTTTGAAGTTCTTGCCGGCACGCTCGGTAATCCCTCGTTGAGAAGGCATTTCCAGGGAGCTGGGTTCAAAGATCGTGGCATCATGTTCAGCTCCCAGTTCAAAAGCTCCCAGAAATTCTCTACCCAGATCCACGTACACCCGTGTGGGTGGGCCAAAGAACTTGGTCCACTGGTTGTACGCCTTTCTTGCTTCTCCGGGTGTATGTCGTCGAAGAGGTAGTATCATTTGGAAACGAGAGGACCAGTCGACAATGTTGAGTGCCATGCGTTTCTTGCCATCGATGGTCGGTATGTAGACCGTGTCCACGCCCACAATCTCATTGACGTGTAGTTGTTTCGGTGGTGCACCTCTGCGAGCGGGATGAACTGTTCCATGTTGTTGGCATACGGAACACTTGAGGTTCTTTGCAAACCGAATGGCCTCATCCGAAGCCTTTGCATTTTTCAATATTCTAGCCAAGCGATCGTTGCCAGGGTGTCCAAGACCTTCATGTGCTCGACGTACTAGTTGTTCGACAGAAAAGGGTCGTTCTCGGGGGAGACGGCCTCGTGAGACTTGATCAGGTCCTGGTAGTTCAGCTGGTACAGATACTTGGTCTGGTTGACATTCTTGAGAATCTCCATATTCTTGGTAAGGTCCAGGTACTCCAGTCTCCTCAACCGTGGCCTCATTGTCAAGGGCCTCTGGCTCTTCATTGGCATAGATCTCCTTGATCTCGTGAAGCGGGATGATCTCTCCCACTGCTTGTTGTCGAAGTTGACTTTGTTGCCACTCCTGGTAGAGCATCTCGACAGTCAAGAGCTGTACTTCTTCATCTCGTAGCAGCTGTTTTCGGTAACCTCTCAGAATGGCATCCACCAACTTTGGTGGATACTCCTGGGCTTGACGTGCTCGGTTTCCACCTTTGTTGTTGCCCAGGATCAGTTCATGCTGATGGCTGCCATCACATCTCAGCGACAATTGCTGAGCGATCTCCGGAGAGTTGGTTAAGAAGCCAGTCGGCTTCTTATGCAAATTTCCATCAAGTGACCGAAGACCGAACCGGCATTGGTCCGCAGCAACCAGGATGACCTCGTCCCGGTCCATGAGCTGCTGGATTTCGTTCTCCAGCCACGTACGAGCCGTCAGGGGGTTTTCGAACACGAAACAGCCACCATATGAGATCACCAGTTGCATGACCTTCCACGCAAACCTCAGTAAACGTTTGGCATGCCTTAGTCTCTGCAAATACTGTCGTGTGTGCTTATTGACATTCATGTTTTGGAGAAGGGAAAACAAGGTACACGGAGGAGAGACAATGACAAGACCAGGTTTAACCTTTGAAAGATACCTCATCACCTCATCTTGAAATGGTTGTTTCAACAAGTCATGCCCCAAGGTTAAATCAAAAGCTTCCCCCGGAATCAAATTGTGATGGGCCGCCCTTTTACCAAACCGTTGGGGGTTATACACTTCAGCCACCGTTCTCATGTGATGGGGTTCCCGATCCAACAGCTTGCCATATTTTTGCATCGCCTTGCGGTTGGTGACTCTGAATTGTTGTTCAGAGCTGGCGGCTTCAGTCCAAAAGTCCTGCCACCCTTGTTCCTCACATTGACTAGGTGCTGTACAAACCAAGCTCATAAGTTCTTCCCACACTTCTTCAGCGGTTCGCAGGGCAGTTTTTGCCTGACTCACTACCCTATTCAGTTGCTTGGTTTTCCGTCTACTTACAGGTTTGGACAAATGCCGAAACTCTTGTTCGGTCAGACCTAATCTCTGCTCGGACTCGGGCCCGATCCACGATCTTTCTGCCAACGTCGAAACTCCTGGAACTCCTCGAACTCCTCGATGTCCTGGGCGGTCATCTTCTTGCCGGCCTTCTTCTTCTTGTTCTCGGACTCGCTCTCCGACTTCGTCACATGCTCGATCTCCAGGATCTTGCCGCAGTCGCAGCACGTCACCCGTCGTTGATGACCATTGGTCCCGCTCTTCCGGGTCCGAGTGTGGTTGCAGGTAGGTGCCCTCGTCGTGGAACTTGCCGTTGACATACTCCCGGGACTCCTCGGTGCCGATGAACTCCGTGACTCCGGTGGTGGAATCCAAACTCCTCCCATCGGGGCATTGACCTCCTCCTGCAGCCAAAGTGGTTGGTACAGCGTCCATGCGAAATACTGACATTGGCTCTGTCGATCCATCGGGCATCGCCAGAAGGTGCGTCCCAGGTTGGGACCCTGTTTGCGGGTCACGAACACTTTGGTGTTCACTCCGTGATGACATACTGGAGGTGGTCCCATCATCATGATGTCCTCGTCCGTGATGTAGTTCTTGCCCTCGGAGAACTGACTGGGGGCCGGCGATGACGGAGCCGGTTGTTGGCTCACTGGTGAGAACACCGGTGATGGGTTCTCTTCCGTCTCGCTGACCAGTTGAAAGCTTCCCACACTCTCCACGTCGGTCAGGGAACCCTCCGGAATCTTGGGCAGGGGCCACACTGAGAAGGGAGCCTTCTTCTGCTTGGGGGTCAGCAAGTTGATGGCCAGTGACGTCACCTGGATCAAGATCATGACCAGCTTCAGCACCATTCGACGCCAAGCGGCCATCGGCTCGTGCCCCTCGTTGTGGCTCTGCCGTGCACGCTTGGTCTGTCCCCGGCTCTCCATGGCTCGATTCAGCAGGTGTATCAGAGCAGTCAGGTCCTTGGCTAGTCAGTCCAGGAACGCCTGAGCCAAGAGGGGACGTCGGTTCATCCATTGTTGTTTTGAGGACCTCAAACTCTTGACTCGACGAAATCAATTGATCTTGAGCAGCTTTCACACATTCAAGGTTTTCAGGGGTAAACTGAGACAGGGGAACCCTTAAAGCCCCTGTAGGACCAATATGGCAGTTCACCGTGAAACCAAACTTCCTGAAATGAATCCTCAAGCCCTTACTAGGATCTAAGTGCAACACAGCTTGACAGTGGATCAAGAAGGGCAAAGAGATGAGAAAGGGTGCCGTTCGAGATTCACCATGTTCAAAAACCGCGGGTCGAAGTAAACTTCCACGATTGCCAAGACTTGTAGGGATCACCGCAACATACTTTGTGGTGGAAGTTCCATGAACTGACCGAAAACGATGTTCTTGGGGAACCATGTGTGTTTGTAGACCCGGTGGGAGTGACTCGTTCATCCTCTTGAGGGTATCGATGCCAATGGCCATCCTTTGACATCCCGTATCCACTGTGGCACATAACTCCTCCTTTGGGATCTCCGGGTTGCTCTTACGGTTACTGATATCTTGATTCCAATAAATTTCATGTTCATTCCTCCTAACAGCATGCTTCCCCGACCCAAAACAAAAACCACTATCACCAACAAAACCATCAATCCGGCGGCCCTTATAGGCTTGCTCAAAATTCGACTGTTCAAATCCATGGTCAGTGTTCACACTGTCCTCTACAGTCGCCGCAGGGCCAAAATGGCCTGAAAACTGTTCAGCCGGGCTCTCAGTTGATCTTGTTCCGGTGAGATCTCCTCCATGGTCCAAAAGGCCGCAGAAGATCGCTTCTTCAGATTCCAACAGGTTCACCTCCTTGGTCTTCACCGTCGCCGCACCATTGCCCTTATTCATCGGGCACTCTGGGTCGCGATGCCAGTGTCCGATCTGTTGGCATTTGGCACATCGTGATTTCGACTTTGCTTCACTCAGCGACATTCTGTAGAAGCCACCTTTAACATAGCCACTTGTCGACATAGAGCTCTGCGATCTCGAACCAGAAGCTCCACCATTTCGCCATTGGCCATATCCTCTGGCGAGGTTCTTCGCCTTCTTGGTCCGAAGGCTCTGCATGAAGGTCTTCTTCTTCTGGGTCAGCATGGTCGAGAGGACCTCCTTCGCCTCGTGCTCCTCCATCACGTCGTCCTCGTCCGGAACATAGCTCTCCACAGTCTCCTCATCACCGTCTCCAGGATGAAGTTCACGCCATAGTTCCTCCATCGCCGCAATCTCATCCTCGTCCGGTTCCTCGTCCTCGTTCTGAAGACTCATCACTGCACTGGTCCTCGAAGTCAAGGGAGTCTTGGACCTTTCGACTCCGACATCCTTGGCCAAGAGCTTCATCTCATGTTTCCTGCACCAACCCTTGACATCTCGGACTAGTATGGAACCTTGAGTGAAGGCCAACATGGCCTTGATGTCATTCTCTGATATGTTCAGAGCGTTGATCAACAAGAAGCCCAGGTACTTCTCCGGCAGCGTCACATTGTGCTCTTGGATCTTACGGACAGCGTCGTCGAACTTGTTGAAGAAGGATCTGCAACCCTCATCTTTTTGACGTCTCAGATGATAGGTCAGTTTGGCAAGTGATGCCAACAACTCCTCTTCTCTGTCCTCTCCAAAGAGCTCCGGGGTGTCCATCACGTCCAGCAACTTTTTGCCGTTCCTGTCATCACTCAACCAGCTTTGGTCTCGGGCGTAATGTTTCAGCGACTGGAAGGGTTGACCTGAAAGACGTTGGAGTATCATCGGGCCTTGGGAACATGGTTTTGCCCTTGTAGTCGCCAACCACAATCTCGCCTTTATCAGCCAGTCTTGGAACGTGCACGACGTTCCATCCCATTCGGGTGGTGGTGGACCCGTCCCCGATCCTCTGCCTTGGCCGGCCGCACTTCGATCACCATCACTTCCATCTTCAGGCTCGCCTCGTCTGGTACGACGAGTGGTTCCCGATCGGCGTGATCGCCGCTGAGCTAGCCACTCACGAAACTCATCACTATTGAACTCGTCACCCTCATCATTCGGTGACAACCTTGCACCATCCTCCCGAGGTTCCTCGGGTTCACCATCAAGGGAGCCGTGCGACGACGGCAAGTTCTGCATTGCGCTACGACCAGCTACAAGCTACGAAACAAGACAGTCCTAAGGATCTACCTGCTCCGCCTACCACTGTAGACGACCAGACATGTCGCGCAGACTTTTTCCGCGCACAAACCCCAAGGCCCAATGTTGAGCCGGTACGACTTCGGTAGAACACATCCACCACTGAAAGGATTCCAGGCAGGTACAGCTAAATCCACAGATACATATGTATACATATGTATACGGTACTGTATACGTATATCTACATAGCTATGGCTATGGGAGCCATATGAAGCCATGGTCCATTTAGTTGGATGATTTCCCATGGCGCAACAACGTCCAAGCGTTCAGGCGCATACACGACAACTGTTGGAGCTGAGCCGGCTCAAGGAACAGCATGATCAGATCCTGCAGGTGCTCGGGCTGAATGATTTGAGGCGTCCCCGGTAATCCCCATTGTCCAACACACCAAAATCTCATTAAAACCATTGGTTGGTAACTGATTTCATTGAACGAAATGGGGGAGCTCCCCCCCCAAAATAGCCGTAGGCTTTCGCATCAAAGATGGGGTCGTGAGACAGAATCAAGAAATCAATTATTATAGACCATTCTTACTTACTAACATGTACAGTATATATAGATAGAAAACATGTCGGGGTCCCCTCACCACAGGACCCCCCCAGTGCTTTAATCAGGACTCATAGATCCCACATAGTCCACCCAATGACCTCCTGAAAGGACTGAAAGAACTGGGGGATCCCCGTGAAACGTGGACGCTTTAAACGGAGATGGGAAGAGACCAGCCATCGGTGTAACTAGCCATTCGAGGACTTAGCACGGCTACCCCATGCTTTAAGATAGGTATATAAGCCTTATATAAGCAAACATATCCATAGTTACCATAGTTGATGTTGAAGTGGTTGCTTTTTGCCATTGATGTGTGGGAGCATATCAGGGGCAAGTGTCCTAAAACAGCAATCACGCATTGGAGCCACAAAAGCACGAGCATCCTTTGGATCGAGAAGCAAAATATCTTCAAAAGCACCAATGAAAGTCCCAGGCAAGGTACTGTAGAATCCCTTTCCCCCTAAATAGCAAAAACATCCTCAGAACCTCTGCATTGAGTATTGGGACTGGCGTTGAAGCCTGGTGCCACTAGGACTCACCGCTGGAACTGAGCCCTAGTGGTTGGATACAAGTTGGATATTTGAATCCCCGACTTACCATCCATGGTCCATAGCCGTTGTTGTATACATTCATATACACACACACATATATGATGGATCCTTTAGGAGGGTTATGCACGTCCTAGCTTGCTGCGCAGTTTCGGCTCACAGTGGGTCGGAGCTTGGGGTGCTAGCCCACCCGGTGGGTAGCACCCTAAACGTCTGAAGAGGCCACAGGCGCCTGAGATCCCCCAGGGGTGACAGGTAGCCTGTGGCCAGTTGCCGTGATGGAGGCACTTAAGGAATATGGACGGCAGCTCAAGCTGACTGCTGATGAGATCCATACACAACTTCGGCTGGGCAGACCGGCGACTGACGCTGCCTGGGTGGACGCCTGTGACCTGGGAGCAGAAGCCCTGGTCATTGCTCAAGAGGCCATGGAAAGCGGCAGATACTTGGAGTATTGCTGCTATGAGGCCAATGGAACAGCACAAGGGAGGGCCGTGATACGCCTGAAGAGTTGGGAAGACGAGGCGGCCGGCTTGCTTGTCGCTGACCATGGTGAGTGCTCTGATGAGTACTACCAATGGTACATGGACCATGAGGTTCAAGGAGCAGCAGTGTACCATGTCTGCAAGGACAAGCATTCGAAGTGCAAACAGAAGCTTGAGAAGGGCGACCGTCGCCACCTGATCCACATGGATAGGTGGAGGTTGATGAGCCCGGCAACTATGCTTGGGGCGACATACCTGAAAGCGCTTGGTGCGCGCCTTGGCAAAGAGCAGCTGAGGGCTGCAGCAGAGGCAAAGGACGCAGGTGAAAAGCCACCTCAGGGAGGGGACACTGGCTTGGAAGAAGCACTGCGTCAGTCTGCTGCGGCCGCAGAGTTCCCTCCGGGGATGCCTGCGGCAATCGGCCACAAGGCTCGTGAAGAGCGCAGGGGCGTGTCGCCGCCAGGAGGTGATCGCAAGAGAAAGCGCCTGGACGAGCACCTGAAAGAGCAAGTGCGCAGGAGCCAGGAGGCTGACCGGGCGAGGTCACCAAGAAGAAAAGACCGAAAGAGGAAGGGTGACCGAGCACGCAAAGGCCGGAGAGACTCCTCAGGGGGTTCTTCGGCAGAGCGGTCTTCCTCCGCGAGTTCGCGTTTTCACACAGCCCCAGCCCGGGGGGGCGAGTTGTGGCGGACCGCACAAAAGAAACCCGGGCATTTAGCCCAGCGAACGCTCGACGAAATGACGAGATACTTGTCAAGCAGGAGCGACATGGGCGATTCGGAGCCGACCTGGTCCGGACAAAAAGTCCTAGCATACCTCAACCAAGTGGTCCTCGTGAACCACCCTCCTCAGAGGATAGGAGTTCGAAGCCACAGGGAGCTAGTGACGCTGGCAATGACAATAGACGAAGTGCTGGGGGGCAGACTGAAACACGGGCTGGATATACTTCTTCAACGCTTCAAGGCGATCGAAGCGAGTTTCGAAGAAGGAGGATGGCACACAGCACGCCACCTCGAACTGATCCCCGGGGGCGGCTCGGGTCTCCTTCGGGAGGACGAGCGCGCGGCAGCCGCAAAAGCAGAAGTCCAGGCCGCACGCCTCCGGGAGAGCATCGCCAAACTCAAGAAGAACACCAAATAGGAAGTCGGCAGCGGGCCAGAGCCTCAAAGAGCGAGGTCCGTGAGCCACTCAAGACAAAGTGCACCAGCCCCGAGTCAAAGGATGGGCGCCTGGAAAACAAGCAGGAGCGACCCCAGTCCGAGAGTTCAGTTCGAAGAGGCCCGCCAGAAAGATCACCAAGGCGAAGGCACCGCTCTCAGGAGAAGTCGGTCTCCCATAGTCGTGGCCGACGACGACATCGACAGCAAGACCGGAGAGAAGAAGCCCCAGGAGAAGGGAGAACCCAAGAAAGGGTACCCAAAAGGAGGAGGAAAAGGAAAGAGAGGCCGTCCAGGCCGGTATCAGAGAAGAGGGAACGGTCATCGACCAGGGCCCCCGAGGAGCCAGCCGACAGCCGCCGGGTCACCGAAAGAGACCGGTCAGAGCGGAGACTCCAGAGTCGTTCGCGTCGAATGAGCGGGGATGCCAATAGGCTCCTAAGGGAGCTGTTGGCAGAAGAACCCACAGGAGGGCTGTCTGCAGCTCAACTGGTGAGGCACTTGGTGCTCCAGTTGATGGCCGTGGAAGGGAGCCTTAAGGATTATTTTCTTTGGTCCTTGCAATCCCCTGAACGAGTAGAGGGACGAGTGGTGAACTTGTTTCCATTACCGTTGTGGTACGATGACCGTGAGGCTTTGATTGAGATCCTTGATGAAGCTAATGTGAAGGGGCGCCCAGGGCAATGGAGGAAGCGAGGTGACACAAAATCGAAAGCGGCCAAAGCCTTACGTGGCAATGGGCTGAGAGCCTGGCACGGTTTGGTCGTGGTGGCTCTGAATCATCTTTATGGTGATGAAGCTGGAGCGCAAAAACCTGCTCCAGGAAGCCAGGCAACAGCGCCTCAGGAGCAGGCACTGAACACCTTGTGGGAGCTCGTGAAGGGTTTCATTGATGAAAAGGAAAAAGGAGGAGTTCCACGGACTTCTCTTGAAAATTGGGAGCATGCAATTGACTCCCTTCGGATCAGCTACACGGGGGAAGTGATTGAGAAAGCGGTTGATTTGACGCTGGAGCAGGTCCTGCCGGGACTCCCATCAGTTGAACACGGTGCGTCGGTAGACATCACTGAGGTGTTGCCGGCATACCTGAAGGAGGAGCTGCTTCACCCAGAAAGACTCCTCCTAGAGCCACCGCAAGGGAAGAGACCATACCCAAGGGTGCGTGCAGCCCCGGGAGAATGGCCGAAGATCGCAAAGGCGCTTTTCGAGCGAGGGCTTGTCACGCCCGTTGACCGTTGCCCGGAACTGGAAGGTGAGAAGTTGGTCAACGGTGCTTTTGGTGTGATCAAACCTGACAAGCACACCGAGAGTGGCTTGCCGGTGCTGAGGCTCATAATGGATCTGAGAGCCACCAATTATGCAATGGCCCAGATCGATGGAGATGTAGGCTCCTTAACTGGAGCTTCAGGGTTCCAACGGATTGTCATTGACAGCGACGAAGAATTGCTGGTTAGCGGTGAGGACCTGACAGCGGCTTTTTATCTTTTTCGCCTACCAGACATTTGGGCGCAGTACATGGTTTTGGAACAGCCTGTGGAGCGAGCCGTGCTGGGGCTGCCTGGTGAGGGGGAGACGCTCCTTGGGATCTGCGTGTTGCCTATGGGCTGGCACAGTGCTGTCGGGCTCATGCAGAGCTGCCACAGGGAGATAGCTCTACGTTCAAGAAGCCTGGGTGGAGCTGGTTTGGAGCCGCTCGCAGAAATATCAAGGAATGCTACATTCCCGGACCTCGACGAATACAATGGTTGGAGCATCTATCTTGACGATACGACGATTTTGGAGAAGGTGAACTCTGCGGTGGTGGCAGAGCTTGAAGGAAAGCCAGCCGAGGAACAACGTCAACTGCGAGAAGCCTATGCGTGGTGGGGCATTCCCACAAACGCGGGAAAGAGTCTGCAGCGTTGCAAGCAGGCAGAGCGTCTGGGAGCGCTGATTGATGGAAAAGCAGGCATTCTCAAGACGCGCTCAAAAAGGACCCTAGACCTTGTGGGGTTAGGGTCATGGATCCGCAGCCAAGCCTGGGTTGCAAAGAAAGCTCTTCAGGTATATGCCGGAAAAGCTGTGCACATCCTGCAGTTCAGGAGATGCTTGTTTTGCATCATGGATGTGATCTTTCGTGAGATTGCGCAGGGGGGTGAAATGGTAGAGGTCGGCCCAGATTTGAGCGTTGAGATGGTGCTGTTGGAATGCCTCCTCCCCCTGGCGCAGTTCGACCTGAAGGCAAGGGTGGATCCCACCGTCACCTGCAGTGATGCGTCAGAGCACGGTGGAGGGATGTGCTTTGCCTCGCGCTTGACATGGGCTGGCCGTGAAGAGGCAGAGAAGCTTGCCCGTGGGGAAGAAGCGCTGGATGTGCAGGAGTTGGACGATGCCGGTGTCATGCAAGGAGAAAAGATACTCGTGGTTGACCTGTTTTCAGGTTTAGGTGGTTTGGAATTAGCCCTGGAACGGGCTGGAGTGAAGCCGCACCACTGCATCATCGTGGAGAAGGACAGCGCATGCCGGCGCCTGCTGAGAAGAAAGTTCCCAGGTTCTGATTTCTGTGGGGATATCGTGAGGTTCAATGAGGGGATGCTGAAAAAGGCGCTGGCAAAGGTACCGGGTGTCACTGGTATCGTTGTTGGGGGCGGAAGTCCGTGTCAGGGTCTGAGCCGCCTTTCAAGCACCCGGGCGCACTTGGATGATGAGAGAAGTGCGCTGTTCTATGAAGCCACCAGGATCATGGAGATGGTTGAGGACCTGGCGGAATCCCGACAACTTTGGGTGTTGAAGTTTTTGGAGAACGTGGTTGCTGACAAGGAGGATGTGCGAGAAATTTCTGGAGCCCTCAGGATCCACCCGGTCTTGGTGGAGTCAGGGAAGCTCAGTCGTGTCCGCAGACCAAGGCTTTACTGGCTTTCGTGGCCCATTGGTGACCCTGGGGACCCGTCGCGGGGCCAGGGTGACCTTTATGATGTGCTTAGGCTGCACGCAGAACCTGAGCCAGTGAAGTGTTTCTTGAAGCCAGGCACATCATGGCCAGCGGGTGAGGAAGACCCAGAGCTGCGGTTCCCCACTTTCACGCGCTGCATCCCACGATCCAGACCGCCACCATGTCCGGCCGGACTCCAAACTACTGACCAAGTGTCGCAAGACCGCTGGCGCAATGACGGGTTCAGGTACCCCCCGTACACCTATGCTGAACAGTTTATGGTCAAAGGATCAGATGGTGTTCTGCGCCCTTTGTGTGCGCAGGAGCGCGAGGTGCTGATGGGGTTCCCGAGGGGCTACACAATGAGCCTCCTAAAGAAGGTGCCTGAGGATGCCGAAGAGGGCCGACAGGCCGAGGATCTCAGGTGTGCGGCCATTGGAAATTCTTTTCATGTCAACACGGTCGCGGCCATTTTGGATTTGGCGTTCAGCGCTGCAAGGCTGAAAAAGCTCAAGGGGGTTCAACGCATTGTCTCCGAGTTTGTGGAATCACTGGAAACGCCACCAGAGCCAGCACTGGTCAAAGACGAAACGGTGTCCGAACCTGGTGAGGAGCTGCTGCGGCGTGAAGACGAGGAAATGACCCTGGCAGCAGTCGAAGGGTTGACTGAGTGGGAGGCCAGTGAAGGTTCGCTGCTTTCGGAGGAGCAGCTTATGGAGCAGAGCAAAGAACTGGGCACTCAACTGGTCTCAGCTTTTATCCGCAGGCAAGAGATGCGGGGCTCAGATGTGCGACTTGACACCGGGTCGCTCTTTCGGCCGGACTCTTTCCCGAGGGGGTCGATTGATCCATGGCGTTGGCAATGGCACGTCGGCCTGGCCTATCGCTTTCGCCATGCCGAACATATAAACTGTCTTGAATTAAGAGCCATTTTGGCCACCTTTGAATGGCGGTGCCGATCCAGTGCTTTCTCGCGATGCCGAGCCCTGCATTTGACTGACTCGGTGGTATCCTTGTCAGTTGCAGTTAAGGGCCGTTCCAGCTCTCGCTCGTTGAACAGACTCCTTCAGCGCTTTTGCGCCCTTCAGTGTGCAGCCGGGGTTTACCCCGTGTTGGGCTGGGTTGCTTCAGAGGACAACCCGGCGGATGCGCCAAGCCGCCGCTATGCCCCGCACCCGAAGGATTGAAACTTTGCCTACGAAGGAGTCAAGAGCGAGAGCACGGAAAAGCATTGGAAAGCTGCGGCATCAGGTTTTGAGCAAGAAAACCGAGGAAAGATATGCTGCCGCTTTTATGGCGTTCCGCCAGTTTCACAAGCTTGCATGCAACTTCGCCATTCACAATTTTGAAGAATTTGATGATGTTGTGGCTGAATATATAGAGTTTTTGTGGGAAAGTGGCGAGCCGAAGAGCTACGCCAACTATACCTTGGCTGGCATCCAATTCTACCGGCCTCAGGTAAAGCAACACCTTCCATGGAGTTGGAAGCTTGCAAAAATATGGAATCAAGTGGAGATGCCCGTACGTGCCACTCCACTCACACCACAAGTGATGCTGGCTTTCGCGGGAGCAGCATTACGCTGGCGCCAGCCACAGTTTGCGTGGCTGCTCGTTGTTGCCTTTGCTTTATTTCTCCGAACCGGAGAGTTGCTCCAGCTGGCTCCCCGTGATGTTACCCTGGATGGCACCTCAGCCATCATCTTTGTGCAAGGCTCGAAAGGATCTAAAAGAACTTTTCTCCCGATTGAGCGTCTTCAATTAGACGAGCCTGTGGCACTGCAAGCACTGAAAAATTTGCTGCATGCACACAAAGCAGCAAAAACTACACCCTTTTGGGGTGAGTCCAGGAGATCCTTTAGGGATACCTGGCATAGTGTGGCTGACCATCTAGCCTTGCCCCCTGACCTTTACAAACCCTACTCTCTCCGTCGTGGTGGGGCTACCAGTGCCTACAAAAATGGCGTACCACTGGATGTTTTAGTTTCAAAAGGCCGATGGCAGCATGTCCACACTGCCAGAATCTACCTGGATACGGGCCTGCAAGCTTTAGCTGCAATCAATTTGCCCCCCCTATCCCGTCCCCGCATTCAAGCTGCCACAGAATTCTATAGAACTGTGAGCCAGTCAGGGGCGCGTGGAAGGAGGGATATGTCATCCCGCGCTGGGTTTCCTTGAAAAGGATCGATCCAGTGTGGGTTTTTGATGTGGCACTTGACTGCCTTTTGCAGAGGGCACGGATTGCAAGGAAAAATCTGTGCCAGTCGGAGCTGCAAGCGGTGGGGAGTGCGGGGAGTGCATATATATACATGATATATATATACATACACATAAGTACACGCACACACACACATATATGTATATACATACAATATATATATGTATACATACAATATTAATAATAATAATAATAATTTTGATAATAATAATATATATATATATAGGAGACGTATATCCCAACTCATGGTTGATGATGCACAGGTTCGTCATTGTCGGTATTTTTTGCTGTGATTTTTGAGTTGTACTTTTTGGCAACCCCATTTTGGCTGAATTCTATGGTAATATATGTGTTTGTTTCACATGCTTTTACTCAAGCGCCACCAACAAGAGCCGGTTAATCCCACATATTCGCTGCGTATGGTCCATCTTACCGTTTTGGGTGATATCCGAAAAACGCCGCAACCCATGGTGACTGTGAACATACAACTGTCATGACTTGAAAACCAGATGCTGCCCATCTCGAAAGGCGGGGCAGATGCTGCAACAGCAGCAACAGCAAATAGCTGCAAGGCGACTGGCATTTGCTTGGGATTGTTCACCAGCGGATTTAGCCAGCAAAAAAAAAATAAAAAAATCGTGAGATAGAATCAACAATTTTTTGGATAGAATGGGACATGATTTTTTTTCATGGGATCCAAGATATCTCTCTGGGCCCAGAAAGACTCCAAAAAAATGCAGTTTTTGTCCTCCTCCGGGTGGGTAAGAAACCACCACCAAGCACGGTTTTTTTCGGGAGTTTCTTCTATGAAATTGGGCTGGTCACCTGGGTAGTCCTGGGTATGTGTGTTGAATCATGTTGAATCCCCATGATTGGTCATCTGGTGGGTTCAAACATGTTTTGGATACCCTCTGGTAATTTAACCATGAAGAATGGTGACTTTCCATAGTTATGTGACAGTTTGCCAGAGGGTAATCCTTCCCATTGACTCATATTTTTCAAGATGGTCAACACCACCAACCAGTCATGATTGGTCATGATTTTTTGGTGATGACTGTTTTGGTACCTGGCCGGGGTGAAGATTGGCCATGTCTGGGTATGGCTCATGAGCTCATGGGAGACTCCTGCAGACATTTTGCTGATTCAACGCAGCCATTTTCCACCTGACCTCCCACATGTAACCGTTAGTCATATACCCTCAGAAACCCCATGAATATTCCACTAATACTTTTCAAAGCACCATATTTGGTGGATCCCCATGGTTCAAACAGTGAAATCACCATGTTTGCTGCGTCAAAATCACGATTTTTGCTCTTCAAATCACCATTTTTTCAGGGTGAAACGGTGAAACCCTTAATTTTCCCCAAATGTTCAGGGTTAGAACAGTTCCCTTTTTTTCTCATTTTGGTGAAATCTGAACTTCCATGAAATCACCTTTTTTCCTGCTAAAATCCCCAAGTTTCCCCATTTTTTCAGGGTGACAGGGGCGAAATCATCATTTTTCATAATTTTTCTTGGTTAAATCAGTTAAATCCTAACTTTCCCAATGGAATCTCATGAAATCAGCCATTTTTGTCGGTGGAACTAGCCATTTTTCCACGCCAGGAATGCTCAGCGCAGCTTGCTGACCACGGCGCTGCAAGTGGAGGACCTGAGTCGACAACTGGAAGCCACAGAGGCGACGTCGACGGGCCAAAGCTACGGAAAAGGTGGTGGTTTCCACCAGAAATGGTGATTTCATGGGATTTACCCCATGGTAAATTAACATAGACCCTGAAAATCACCAATTCTTAATGGAAACTTAGTCTTCCAACCCCTATTTGCCAGGGTCTATGTTAATTTACCAGAGGCTAATCTGAGAAAACTTGGAGTTTTTGAGGCACATGTGGGAAACACATGGCAGTTCATTTGGGGGATTTTCCGGCAATTGCCATGTTTGATGACCGGAGGGCACTAGCAAAAAACCAGAAAGTCATTGCGATTGATGAACCGTTGGCTCATAAATGTGGTATACCGTTTCAGTGGCACATCTGATGGTATACCATGGTATACCCACAGAAGAAGGAGTTTATGATAGCATACTTCTTTCTTATTCCCCACCTGCCAGGTGAGGGTTGCTAGATTTTAACAGAACAGTAAAGTAATTATTTTTTTAAATATCACCAAAAGGCAAAAACTGAAAACAGTGGTCTTACAATGGGTTTTGTTCCCGCTACCCTCTAGTAAACTGTCACATAACTATTGAAAATCACCATTTGATTCATGGGAAAATCAAGTATTTACTATTTCTATGGCCATTTTCAATAGCTATTTTGACATAACCAGAGGGTAGCACCAAAGTTGATGGCTTAGGAGGGGAAATGATGGTGGGATTCTGGGTGCCACTTGGATGACTGGATGATGTTAGCTGTTTGAACAACACGTCCGTTCTGATGAACATTTTTTATATCCAAGTGAGAAGTATCTAAACCCTCCATGTGCCCATATAAATTGGTGTTTTACTCCATATTTTAGTACTTTCCTACCACTCTTTACGGGTACAGATTGAGGGTTTGGGTTGTAGCTTGGACCCTGCAGAATGATTCAGGTTGGTTGGCCCTTGGTGCTCTCGACTGGTTGGGAATGGACTTATTTTTTACTGGCCCGGCCAGAATTGGAATTTGATAAGGAAATCTAACCCTCGAACTGACTACCGTCCAGCTCAATCGCTATCTTTTCTTTTGATATTTGGATAAATTATGTCGTGAACCTCAAGCTGATCCCCATATTTGGATAATTTTGGATATACTTATATACAGATCATGAACATTGAATTTTCCCGTTCAATCAACTCCTGGATAGATTTTCATATAGTAGCCCACACAAAGATGCAGAAAAAGTTCAAAGATGTTCAAAGTACCATCTGGCAATTAAACATACAATGTGGGCCCCCAAACGTTATAAGTTGGTTTAGATTCGCCCCAGTAACTATAGTTATAAATACCATAAACCATAGTTATTGGACTTATAAACCAACTGAACGCTATCGAACGGGGGCCTCATTAAACATAGCTATGTACAATCACCACTTTCAATAGGTAAATCATCAAGCTCAACGGGCCATGCACTCCCTGGACCCTACCTGTGAGGAGAACTGGCATCAGGGGGAAGCTTGATGGTTTACAACTGAATCTTACCCAGATTGTACCACCCAAAAAGAAAACGTTAGAAACGTACAGAACCATGAATAATTCTATGTAGTAGTTTCTTTTGGTGGGCGGGGAGGTTGCTTAGATTGTCCAATCAACCCAGTTTTCAACTGCATGATTTGCTGAGTTTTATCCCCGAAGGCAGCGCTGCGAGGTGGCTTGGCAGGCCCTAAGGGTGACTATTCGGAAAAGGAACTGGGTTAAAACAATGCCATAAACCATCCCCCAAATCACCATTTTCATAGGTGGTATGGTTACGATGGCTACCATTCCCAAATGGATGGTTATGATGGTTTACTATTGTTTTAACCACAATAATCAGTTCTCCCCGCCAATATTCAAAATACCGGTATTTTTAATACACGAATTTGGGCCCCACACTCAGAAATCCAATGGATGGGTTCACCTGGGGTACACGAAGAAATGGGCCCCACTTAGCGTGGGATCCTCTATGGATCCCACGGGGACTATGTACTTCGATGGGCCATGATCACAATGGACATGGGAGATATACTCCCGCTGCCAACTAACTCCATGGCCTCATTGCATCTTGTCTAAGTAGCCGGTTGGGTTTTGATTACCATTAATATTACCATTACCATAGACATCAACCATCAACCGGTTGATGGGAATCACAATGGGGTGATGACTTTTGGGTTGTCCAAGTAGCCGGTTGATGTTTTTGATTACCATACCATTCCAATGGGAATATAATGGGGTGGTATCACATGGATAATCCAGAAGGACTCACCGATCACCATTAGGATGACTTAGCGTCCAAGTCTGGACCACGGTTTTGACACGAGCCTTTTTTTTATCTGGGTATCATTCATAATCCAGGCATAGAAATTCCATGTTATGTTTTTTTTTACCGCAGATTGTGATGATCTTTGCATTCACTTGGCAAATGATTCTCGCAGTGATCATTTGTACCAGCTGCCTTCCCATGTGGCCGTGCCAAGATGTTTGGTTGCTAGGAACTGTTTTTCAGTTTTTTTTTTTTTTTGGTGACACCATCCGAACCAACATAAATCAGGATTCTCACTTGCCAGTTTAGGTTCCGGAGGTTTTACCCCCTCGGGGGTCCAAATTTCTGGTTCTCGGTGACGCCTTAGCGGTGACATGTCAAAATTTGGGGATGGCTGCCTCCCAAGCCGTCCCAAGGACCGAAAAAATGGATACAAGGATCCCCAAGTAGCTGTAGCCTCTGGTAAACATAACTGTCACATAACTATGGAAAATCACCATTTTTAATGGGAAAATCAACTATTTCTATGGCCATGTTCAATAGCTATCTTGACATAACCAGAGGCTATATGTCCTTTTCAAATCTTTTTTAACACCACAATCCAGGATGTCATAGAGATTGGAAAACAACCAAGGCTGACTCTGTCACATGACCAACCTCAATCCAATCCTCTCTTGAAAATTCTTTCAAGGTGTTCAACCTCAACCTACTATATAGTTCCAATTAGTTCCAGCATAGTCATAGTCATAGTTCCAAGTGACTCAAGTGACTATCAATGGATTGGTTTAAGGGAAAATTTACAGGAAAGCCCCATATTTAATGGGAAACTCTATGGTTTCCTGTAGATTTTCCCTTAAACCAATCCATTGAGACTACAGATAGTCCCCCCATGATTCACAGTACAGTTTCCCATCGCCAGGTGCGCCAACAATGTACGCGGCCTCTCCTGAGGTGCGGCGCGGGGCCGCGGAGAGCGCGGAGCATCGACCGTTACCCCATGTTGTTCGATGATTTACCTATGATGTAATCATATAAACGAATGATATATGATATAACATATGATTTACCTATGATTATATATATAATGATATTCCATAGGCAAGTTAGCTTACCAAAGGTTAGAATCTCCCAATTCACCAAAGTTCTCCCTTCAAATCTTCGTGTTGCGCATGGCCAGCAATGTGAGGCGTCCTTCCCTCCACATTTGCAGCATCTCTTTGGATACTGAGTTGCAGGGGATTGCCTGGGAACGATGGGTAAACCTTAGGTGAATGATTCGCAATTCACCTAGAATCTACGGTGCCCCCTAGATAGCGTTCAGTTGGTTTATAACTCCAATAACGGTGGTTTATAGGTGATATATCTATGGTTAATGGGGTTTATAAACCAATTTATAACGTTTGGGGGGGCACCACCTTGTAGAATCTACGGTAATAACAATAAAAACACACAACAAGATGTGCAAAACCCACGGTTTCCCCTGGGAACATGATCGACGATCGTTCGTGGTGGCTATGGGTACCAGCTGCCACGTATTGGTGCAACTGCAGCCTCCAAGTAAGCATAGGTGAATGATTTGATGCGTGGAAGCCGAAGATATTTCACCTGGTGGTTTCAAAGATTTTTTTCCATATATCTGGGTAAATTATAACGACCTCACTGCGACCGAACCCTGGAAATCATAGTTAGTAAGGGGAATCATCCCCAAATGGCCTTAATTCAGGTTCGTGAAATATTATAATTTACCCAGATATATGGGATGACATCCTTCCCATTGACGAACTCCATCATTTTTCAAGATGGTTATTGCACCACCAACCAGATAGTTATTAATCATCATTAACCATATAATAACCATATATTAACCATCATTCACCACCATAAGATGGTTAAAACATGTTATTGCACCATCAACCAGTCACATACTTTGGAGATACGGACCATTAGAGACCGCTGTTGTTGGATTCTTTTAGGCCCGGGCACCAGAAGATTTTTTCGACGGCGCAATCTGAGGCTACACTTTTGGGTGTTTCGGTGTTTCCGGTCGAACAACGCTTGACGCAGGGAATCAACAATCTAGAAGTGATCGAAACTGGTAAGTGCACTAAATCCCATTGCGGTGGCTATGTTTTTTTTTCCTCCACCAGGCAAAGAAACATGCAGAACAATTTTGTTTCAGGGTTTCGGAGGTTGTTTTTCCCGGTGAAAGTGGGGATAACTTGGCCAACACAAAAATAGGAAGAGAATGTGGACTTACCCTCTGGTAAACTAACGTAGCTATGGAAAATCGACATCTTTATTTAATAGGTAAATCCGCTATAAATGGCCATTTTCAATATTTACCACGGAACCACCGCCATAATTCTGATGAATTCTATGACGGGAACATTGTTTTCCAGATGGCTAAGTCTAACACGGGGTCCATGTGTTTTTGAAGGCCATCAATCCGCACAAGCTAAGGCCTTGTAGCGCAGGCGCGGGCAAGTTGTTGGGAGTTTTTCGTGCGTGCGTTTTGTGCCTGCGATTGGGGTAGCGGTGAAACAAAGACTGGTTGGTGGTTTCAAACATGAATTTTATTTTCTATTTCATATATGGGATAATTAATCCTTCCCATTGACTTTCATATTTTTCAAGCTGGCTAAAACCACCATTTCATATATGGGATGTATAATCCTTCCCATTGACGAAGTCCATCATTTTTCAAGATGGCCAAAACCACCCCACCAACCAGAGGAACTTGGTCATTTTCACTAAACCCATCTGGCATCTAGGCTTCTGGGCAGTGTCTGCTAGGCCCTACTCGGTTGATTAGTTCGGGGGTTCTGCGCCCCGGAATAATCTATGATGGGAATCCCTATTGACCAACCAGTTTTTTTTTTTTATCTATCCCTATTATAATTATCTATGATGGGAATGTTTTTTATAATCTATGATAGTCATCCCCAACCCGTTAGTGACCAACCAGTATAATTGATGGAATTGACAAACCAAAAAACATGTTTTTTTGATGATTTAGGCCCTGATTTTGTCACCATTTCTGGTGATTTGGGATGAATTTTGATGGGGTCCAAGTGGCCTGGAATCCGTGCGCGAGCCCTAAGATTCGATTTGCATTTCAGGGCAGCCGTACACTAAAATCTGGTTGGTGGTGACTGGAACCATGGAATTTTGAATGACTTTCCTAATATAAATTATGGGAATTTCCATGGGAATTTTTCATCATCCCAACTGACGTTCACTCCATCATTTTTCAGAGGGGTAGGTTGAAACCACCAACCAGAAATGATTGATATTTTCCAGTTGAACTGGTCCCTACTCTTGGTCGTATCACATAAGACTTGGATCTTTGCCCCAGTGATCTTGAAGCTCGTGTAGGAAAGCCGTTGCAAAGGTGTGGGCATGCGTTCATACCAAATACCATCCCTGCATGTTTTTCCCCATTGCCAAGTTTGATTGCCAGGGTAGCCTCAAAATTGGGTTCTGCTTCCCATTTCAACATCACAAACACTTCCGGCAATGTGTTTGAGATGTGAGCAGAATAAGGCAAACAGTCAAGATGTAGGATATCAAGATGTACGCAATGGGGATTGGGGAAATAAACAGAAAATGGGAACAATTATCACCCAAGAAGAACTTCTTTGGGCCAGTTGGGCCAGGTAAACCTTTGTCGAATAGGTTCCGGTTTCCCTGCTTAATTTTAAGCCATATAGCACCCCTGCAGGAAACTCTGGGCAAGTAAAGTCCCAATAGAATGGGTTCGAACATTTCAAAAATCATTGTCATACCTTCTTAGGAAGTATGACGGGCTATGATTTGGGGGGCTAAGTGCCTTCTCAGAAAGTATTTGGATCCATAGGCATTACTTATTTTGATTTGCATATTCTAAGGTATTTTTGGGCATCATATCCAAGTTCAAGTTTAAATCTTACGACTTCATGTTCATATCTCTTATCCCTTTATATCATATATCTCCTATTATTATCCCATTAGTCATTGCCATTGGTTAAACCACCCATTCAGTTCGATGATTTTCGAAAATCTCCATTGACAAAGCCAAAAATCTCCGTTGAAAATGGGATTTTTTCCGATATTTGGAGCACAGATGATGAGTAGCATAGCATAGAAAAATCTCTTGTTACAGAGGTTTAATTTCTTCATCTGGGTAAATTTGATCATGAACTCTCTCATCAGAGCCCTAAAATCCTGGTGGCTATCATCCCCAAAAGGTGGGCCAATTTTTTCGGGTTAGTGCAATATCATTTACCCAAATATATTGATTAATAGGATTAATAATTCATATATATATATACATAATATGATTAATATATATATATGTAGTGAACCGAACATTATATAGCACATCAAATTTGGATGTTCTAGTGGTATTCGAACTAATTTGATGTACTAATTATTTCATATATAGTTACCCTAGAAATTTCGTGGTGGTCACCCCCTTTCAAAAGACATATTAGTCTCGTAGCTGGGAGGCGGTCCCCGCAGGGGTTCATCCCCGTCGCCTGTCACTTGGCCTTTTTCACGAAAAATCGACAAAGAGATGAGGTGCTTCAAAGCTCCATTTTATCAATGGTAATTCCAGGATCCTAAATTGGAGGTACCTACCATATATAAGGCCTATTTTTTAGGCCTAAATTTCAGGGAATATCCCCGCAAAATATGGCCAGAAATATGGTACAGTACCTCCAATTTAGGATCCTGGAATTCCCATTGACTGGAGAATGGGATTTCAATGTGATTATAACCCATCACGGATCGATGGTGCTGGTAGAAAAATGCGTTTACATGACTGGGGTTTTTGTTGATGGGATCCATGGCACACCATTTTTTAGCAGCACCGTTAGGATCCGTCATGGGAAGTGGTTTTCTTGACATCTTGGGATTTTTCGCGGGATTGAAAGGGAACAATTAAGGGATTTACCCTCTAAACCAGCGGCTCGCTGTGGACAATCACCAGGAAGTTGGGATGTACACTGTGATCAATCATGCCACATTTGGATGAATGTATGACATTAATATGGATATATATACCTTGAAACTCAAAAACCTACAAAAACGTGGGATATGAAAAAAACACGATGTTTTTCCACAAAACCCGATGTTTTCAAATTTGCAGTTTTGATGGTGAAGAGAGAAATGAATAGAGTCATCCTATTCCAGCATATTCCAGCATTCCTTGCCACAACCCCCAACAAACATGTGGTTGGGAAACTCTTGGTGGCTCCTCAATTCCCTCTTGACCAGTGGATAGCATAGATAGCCAACATCACCCACCAATGATTCCGATGCGATATCTATTTTCATATGATCATATGAATCTGTTGAAATATTGCAGCAAAAATGGCAAAGGTGGGACCCTTCTGAACCCGAACGAAAAGTACGGGTTTGCACGGGTAAAGTACGGGTTTGGCACGGGTTCAGCACGCGTTTCAAAACCATTGTGTTTTGGAAAAACACGATGTATTTATGCCAAAAGTTCGGGTTAGCACGGGTAAAGTACGGGTTTAGCACGGGTTCAGCACGGGTTCAAAATAAGCCCGAACTTTTCTCAGTAGGTTGTCTAAAAATTAAATCCAAGTCCCATACTAGCCCTTCGATGAGATCGATATTTTGGGGCGTACAACCATGACCGCGCTTCAAGCAGTTTTTCTCAAGACTTAGACACAAAAGAAACGCCAAACGATGATCATATCATGCGACTATGATATGACTATGACTATGATTGGTTGATTTGTGTACGTGGTCTGCTTAAGTGATGCCAAATCATGAAAACAACGTTTATTTAGCTATCCTGGGGAAACACGATGTTTTTTCTGGAAACACGATGTTTTCGCAGTGCACCCTGGAAAACACGAGGTTTACATTTTTATCCTGCAAAAAGTTAGGCTTTCGTTGTACTAGGTATATATATATCAACTTTTAATTAAGGGATTTTGTGGGGATGAAGTGATGAATGAACATTCAATTTAAAACTGTGCTATTTTCATATCAAGTCTAGGGTTCCACCGGTTTTTGCCCATCCCCACGGTGTTTAACGAACCCCTGGCGCGCACCGAGGCAGTAACAAGTTGTGAGAGGAAATACCCTGCACCGCAGCCACCGGTTTCAACGGCCGCGGCGATGTTTTTTTCACCGGACGTGAGGTGAAAGTGTTGGTTGGCTGAGATCAATGGGAACTTGAGGTACCTAAACTGGAGCTACATACCATATCTGAGGTCAATGGGTATTTGGTGATTAACTGAGTTTATTTGGTGATGACATGTTGTGGATACAGTATTGTCAGGTACTTATCCCCATATAAAGCCATACTTTGGGGAAATACCCCCTGAAATTTAGTCCTTTTCTGGGCCTTACATGGACCTTATATCTTGTCCCACCGTCCCACAACTGCTCTGATAGGATGCCGGAAAGTTCTAAGACCTTTGCAAAGCCTTCGTATGGTTTTGGTTGCGCCTAACGTAGGCACTTTATATGGAAATAAGCTTCTGCCTTGAGGGGATCTTGCTGGCAGGTACCTCGCAGAGAAAACTTAAACAGCTGGAAATAAGGGTTCAACTACTGGAATCTGCAGGGTTGGGAGTGAATTTTTCACTAGTTTCAGATATTTTTGGCATGTGAAGCTTCAGGTTTTCGCGGCACATTCAGCTCCTTGATCCTTAAAGTTGATTTCGCATGTTTCTGAATTATTTCCACTTGCAAGCTGGTGCCCCGTAGTTCTAAGTTGGTCTAGTTTCACCCCATTAACTATAGATATATCACAATAATCATATAGAATCACCATAAACCTTTATAGTTTGACATAGTGAACATAATGAACTTAACTAAACCAAATTGGCCAACTACGAGACACCACCTTCTTGGAGTGGGTTGCTTCGCCAACAGTTTCAATCGTCAGATCCAATCTGTGGCGTCCCCGGAATTTGCCCCAGGGGCAGTGATTGTGGGTTTGAAGGGCGCAGGGTGAGAAGACGGGAATATGGCTGATATAACATGATATAATAGTATATCATGATATATTCCACCCAAAAATGATCAAACATGTGCTTTACTTGGGTATAACATAAGACTGGTAATCCGAGGGGCATGTTGCCAACGCAGGTGGGTTCCTGTAACTGCCAACTTGGGCTGGGATCCACATTTGCATCCCAATCATCCCCGTTTAGTAATGTTTATTATTGTGAGTTCGCCACTAGTTTTCTTGCACATGGAGATGAACTTTATGAACTTATGTTGAGTTCCAAAGGTCATGGATTGTTATGGTGGTCAAAGATCATTATTATCTTCCAAATCCATCTTCATCCATATCATTGCACATGGATGAGGATTCCCAATCCATGACCTTTGGAACTTGCTCCACGCTCCGCGCTCCTCCCAGCTCCTGCACGCCACGCGGCCACGCCGCCACGCCAAATCCTGTCAAAGCTTCCGACCACGAGACGTGTTGAAGCACTGGCACCTTTGAAGTTTTTGGCAACATTCAAAATTTTGGTCATGTAAAATACCAACTTATTTCCTGGGTACGTGGAGGGTTTTCCGGATGGTTTAGGGACTTTGATTCCGATCAAACGATGCCAATCGTTGACCTTGATGTGCCACGGCCTTGGCACTCCGGATCGAGCAGATCCACGCGCCATTTTCTCACTCCCAGCGTCGACTCGGAACCATGGTGACCCGTGACTCGGAATTTACCCTCTGGTAAACAGACAAAAAACTATGGAAAATCACCATTTTTAATGGGAAAACTCACTATAAATGGCCATGTTCAATAGCTATGTTAGTTTACCAGAGGCTACTCCAAGCTGTTGGGACATGGAATTTGCACCAGGGTTTTTTGGATGATCTTTTCCATAAAAAACCTTTCAAAAATTCTAGAGGATTTCCATGGATTTCCAATCTCCATGTGGATTTTTGGGGAAATTTTTGCGGCATCATCTGGGTGCACCATGGTCACCATGGTGACTTGCCAGTGATGGGATAAACGTCCAAGCATGCCTTGGTGGTTTCAACATGGCAATGGAAATCCCCCGTAAATGGAGCTATGAATTACTGTAGTTTGGAAAATCATCTATAAATGTGGAATTGTCCATTGCCACCTTTGATTACCGGAGGTTATTGTGTGTGTGTGTGTAGCATCTGAATAGATGTAAAACCTCTCCTTTTTTCTTTTTTCTCTCCTTCTAGTAGGGGGACAGAGCTCTCTGATGCTACTCTGTCCAACGAAGCTACGCATCAGAGAGGGAAACATCCACTGGCCATGGATGTGTGCCTGCAAACATGTTCGAATAATGGCAAGGGGCTAAGCCAAGAATCCCAACTTCTTGGGTTACTGTTTTCCAGTCTAATTTGCACGTGAGGGGATTCAGTTCCCGACGGATCAGTTATAGATCTGTTCTTGTCTAGTGTGATTTCCACGGTGACTCCGACAAGGTGCCATGGCCCCACCTGAGGGAACCTTTCTTAAGGTGAATACGGACAGACCCGATTTCTGAATTGACATTTTTAACCTGGTAATTCGTTTAAGTAAAGTGCAACAGTTGGCCTTACTGTTGCTAGCCGTTTTTACACCGTCCTGCCGCTCCTGCCGTCCCTTGTGAACCTTTTGAACCTGCACTTCTACTTGACTGAAGCTGTTCCGAATTCTCAGAAACTTTCATTTTAACTCGCTGCAGCTCCAGCTTTTGCGGAGCACCATGACATGACCCAAGAAAGGTGACAGGCATGTCCTCTTCCTGCAGGTATGGTCTTTTTGGTATCTGGTGAGGTCAAACATATTGTGCACCTAATTTGTTGGAACCTGAACAGCTGTTTGTGCCCGTGTGGCTTGACCTGACAACGTTCCCGGCCGGGAGTAACGCACGACCTTTTAGGATAGAACTAGGTCCCCTTCATTAATTTTTTGTTGTTTCACTTCCGTCACCAACTAATCCCCATTTGGTCCCTAATTCTTCCCCCGTGCTCCTCTGTAATGTGTTGTGGGGTTTAGGTGTGTGCCCTGTGCTGGTTAGGTCCGTCTCGCCGCGTAGGTTGGTTCTGGAGGTCCCTTTGTTCCCTTCCCCCCCGCGCTGGTTTTGGCCTTCTGCCCGTCGTTTGTGTCCGCTTTTTGTTTCCTCTTGCCTTTCAGGGTTGACCCGGCTCCGGCCGGGTGTGTGTGTGTGTAACATCTAAATAGATGTAAAACTTCTTCTCTCTCTTTTTCTTCCTTTGCCCTCTCCCTTTCTAATTCTAAATTAAAGTTAATGCAGGGGGCCACCGGGGTCCCGGGGGGGTCGGTGGCCACCGAAGACACCCCCCCGGGACCCGTGTAAACGTACCTGCATTAATCTAACGATCTAGGCTGGTTTGCATGTTTCAGGATTCAGTTCCTGCCGGATCATATAATGATCCATTCTTGTCTAGTGTGATTTCCATGGTGGCTCCGACATGGTGCCGTGGAGCCAATTGAGGCAACCCTTTTCAGGGTGAGTGATGACTGTCCGGACTACCGAATTTACGAATTTTAAGTTGGTAATTCATCTAAGTAAACTGCAACAGCCGGCCATACTGTTTTTCCAGCCTTTTGAGATTGTCCCGCTGATCTTGTGGTCCCAGGGATCCTAGTGTTTTGCACTCTGTCAAGTGATGCCATGCCGAACTGCCAGAAACCTCCGTTTTTTGCAGCAATTTCACAGCGACATTGTGCAACACTACATGAGATTGGATCAGGCAGGCACACGTCTTTCAGGTGTGGTATTCTTCCTTTTGGTTTTCTGGTGAGGTGAAACATGTTGTGCACCCAATTCGCTGGAACTTGGAAGCTGTTTTATGCCAATTGGGGCTTGACTTGACCACGGTCCCGGTGCAGGGAATAATCGCACGACCTTTTAGGCATTCAGGGACTGAGTCCTGTTTGTTAACTACTTGTTTTGGTTTTGTTTGTCATCAACTAGCCCCCATTTGGTCCCTAATTCTCCCCGCGTGCCTCTCCGTAACGTGTTGTTGGGTTTAGGTGTGTGCGCTGTTTTTGTCAGGTCCGTTTCGCCGTGTAGGTTGGTTCTGGAGGTCCGTCTGTTCCCCTCCCCCCCTGCGCTGTTTTGGCCGTCTGCCCGTCGTGTGTCCGCTTTTTTCTTCCTCTTGCCTTTCAGGGTTGACCCGGCTCCGGCCGGGTGTGTGTGTAACATCTAAATAGATGTAAAACTTTTTCTCTCTCTTTTTCTTCCTTTGTCCTCTCCCTTTCTAATTCTAAATTAAAGTTAATGCAGGGGGCCACCGGGGTCCCGGGGGGGTCGGTGGCCACCGAAGACACCCCCCCGGGACCCGTGTAAACGTACCTGCATTAATCTAACGATCTAGGCTGGTTTGCATGTTTCAGGATTCAGTTCCTGCCGGATCATATAATGATCCATTCTTGTCTAGTGTGTGTGTGTGTGTAACATCTGAATAGATGTAAAACCTCTCCTTTTTTCTTTTTTCTCTCCTTCTAGCAGGGGGGCAGAGCTCTCTGATGCTACTCTGTCCAACGAAGCTACGCATCAGAGAGGGAAACATCTACTGGCCATGGATGTGTACCTGCAAACATGTTCGAATAATGGCAAGGGGCTAAGCCAAGAACCCCAACTTCTTAGGTTACTGTTTTCCAGTCTAATTTGCACGTGAGGGGATTCAGTTCCCGACGGATCAGTTATAGATCCGTTCTTGTCTAGTGTGTGGGCGTGTTTTTGTTTGAAAATGGTGGAGAGGGAACCCCCCAAAGAATAGCGATCTTGATTTGGAGGTTGAAAGCATCAGACGAACTCAATTCGTCATCATTGATACTGGGCTGGGCTGATCCCACTTTCACACACAATTTTTTGTGCGTTGGAAATCGTTGGAACTGCGAAACCACCAATGAGCGCTTCCCGTTTCAAGCTGTAGCTGGCTGAATTTGGCCAACTTTCTCGACCGCCAGCTGGTGAGGCTCTTCTAATGCCAGTTTGTTGGACTTGGATCCCCCCTGGGCCACCCTTCGGTAGTCAAACATGTCAAACATGTCAAACATGTTCGGCTTCAAAGATCAATGGTTCCAATGCCCAAAACATCGGTGGATGACAACTCCAGGATCCCACACCGGCCGACAATCCAAGTGATCCAAATGTCGTCTATTTCTATTGTATAATGGGGATGGGTCAAAACCTTGTACCCCTGGTGAACCTCAAAATAGCTGGTA